GAGGATCCAACGGAGTCTGGAATTCTCGGTTGGCATCCCAAGCGATTTGTGGGCCCAGGGGGTCGTCAAATTCATTTGCATCAGCGTCATTTGCCTCAACCCAAAATATTCCTTTCTTGCCAGACCAGTTTCACTTGGTAATTCTGTGGTAATTTCCATGTTCCCGGATACAATCCACTCACAATATTTTCACGGGCGAGCATTCCGTATTTTGTTACTTTCGAACAACCCCATTGGCACATTAATAGTCTTCAATTCTATTCAACTTCCAAATTCTATGAATTACTTTTTTTAATACGTTTTTATCCGACTCTCTAATCTGTACTGAATATTTAAATTCCACAACACAAAAAGATTGCAAAACATGCAATAAAGTATTTAAGTCAATGAGGTTTACCAGCACTTAACGTTCCCGAAAATTTGTGACTGGAGTGGACCATTACGAACCCGAAAAGCCCAATGAAATTCAATAATTAATTGCCTAACATCACAAGGCTGCCCATACGTACGGGTTTGTAAATGGAATTTTCACACTTTTTGAATCATACGAGTTGATCTACCATAAAAAATGAGAAACTTGAACTTGGTGGATTACAACGCTTTTATTCGAAAGCAACAACTGATGAAAAATTCAGGTGTGCAATTCCCCAATTCCCCAATTCCCCAAGCAATATCTTATCCTCCCGAACTGCGAGCTATCACGTAAAGTCGCCGGAAATTCATCAGTAAGCATCAAATCTCACTCAAAAATAAATAGTGTAATGTAACCTGTGTTCCATTGTAGAATAAACGTGGACATTAATTTTCTAAAAATTACTCTTGAAACTTGAGAACTCCACTAACTTTATTTTCTCCTCTTAAACCATCAGAGTCATTTGTTATTCTCTGCGGTCCACCTAGAATGTTTACTCAAGCAATTCTCCAGCCCTCCCACCACCCACTCTAACCAAAAGTTCACGTGTGCGTATTTGTGTGAGTAAACTCCCTTGGACTTAGCCATCATTCTATTTCTCTTCTTTCTCATTCTTTTTTCCTTTCCCTGGTTGCAGCCCTTTTACGTTGTCGACCGGTCTGCCGCCAGTTTACTCTTGCCCGAAAGTTTCGTAATAAGCGGGGATGAAAAAGCGTCGTGTTGGACCATCCAGTAATTTAACTCTCAAAGCGTACGCGCGCGCTTCCTGGCCAGGACCTTCCTCACCCCCCAGTGACAGAGTTAAAAAGAAGCAGGGGATGAAGAGCGAGGACAAAAGAAAGTAGAAGAAAAAAATTATATGGGTCGAATTACAAAGGGTGGGACAATTTTCACACCGGAATTAACGTCACGAGGTGTTGAAACATTGATGTTTAAAATTTAACCCGGCTCCGCGGTTGAATCCCTACTCTTCCAATATTGATAATTTATTCCATACTGGATGCATGGGCAACTGGGGGTGTCTACTCAACCCATCCATCGCCCTATTTCGCGCCTCATTTTCCTCAACTTTTGTAATAAGTCGCCCGGGGGAACCACCAGGCGCCGGAACGAGCCGCTAACCCTAGGGCTTTTAACAAATCCGACACTTGCTTCCCTTTTTCGCATTGCTAATGGAGAAAATTGCAGGAGAGACTGCTCTGGATCGGCCAATTTTCGGTGCATGTCGTGGAAATTTTTAATCAGCTGGAGTTGTTAAATTTCATGAAATTGTCTCAAAATATACAATTTTGGCCCTTTAATTTGGGAAATTGCGCGTTGCTAAATCGGAAAACCACATTCAAATGAAGAGAGAGCAGCGGTTTATCGGACCTCGTAACATTAATGAATTAATTGACCAATTCACAATTGATCATAGCGCTTTGATTCGTCCTTTGGGATTTTTGTGGCCAGCGTGATATAGTGTATCGATAATACAACACAAACAGATACAAACTAATGTTTACTATTCATCGAAGGTTTATTTTAGCTGGTCCTTTCGAGAACCACAGTGAAATGAAAGGGACCTAAAATGCTATTAATTTATTTCCTAATGCTGCCTCTCTCAATAATTATAATAATTCACTATCTATATTATTGAATCAAAGGGCTCATTCAATGAATAATGTGTTTATTAAACTAATTGGAATGGTTACCCATAAAGATAACACAACTCAAAAATATTACCCAGGGACTTTTACTCGCTACAACTATTCCTCAGTATACCAATAATTTTCCAAAAATATTCCATCTACATTATAATATTTTTCTGAAATATTTTCAGGGGTATTATTATTATTGAATAGCATTTTAAGCGGTCATTAATTGGGATCGTAATTAATAAATGGAAAATATGGAAGTGATCGAATACATCCGACAGGAGAACTCAAAGATAACAGACGGGTGTATCCTAAAATGACGAACGTACATGAAGCTTCTAGAGAGACACAGATAACAAATACGTAAGAATATTATTCACGTTAATTAAAATACTTGTTCAAAATATCTCTCATTCCCGTGCTACTAATGAACCGGCACTTTCACCCCTATCTCATCTTCCTCCTATCTCTGGATTCCACGTGCGACAAATGCTCCCTCTCAGAATTAAAACATGCACAATTTCAAGAACAACAGTAACTACATATTACCCTTCGACCTTCGCCCGCATCCTCAGCTTCCCAGCGACAAGCTGAAGAGAATTCCACGCGCGTCTCCCAATCGCTGGAGTGAAAAACTTTGGAGAAAATCTTCTGGAATTCAAAAAGAATGGGAAATTAGCAGTCCCGAGTTACAGCATCGCCTCCGCCCCGACTACAATTTCCCGACTACCAAACTCTAAATTTAAGAGGGACAGAATATTTCCAGATCCCCGTCGACAGATGCAGCACGAATACATGACAATAAACTCCTCAAGACTTGTCATAAACCCTGAAAAGTTGCACTGCTATATCTTCTATTTGGACAACATTCCTTGTTAAAGTTGTTCGGATGTTGGGGATAGAAGTGAGGCTCATTGTGTAAAACGATCCGTTGTTGCTCGGTATTTTCCGGTCTGACAGCATAGCGCGCTAAGTTTACTATTGAGTTCTGCCACGAGTGAAACAAACCGAGGCATTTCTATACACAACTAAGGAGGAATGGTTGCAATGGGGTTTCGCGGAGGTATAGTTACTCGTCCTACGATGTGAAGCGACTGCCACTACCACATCCCCCACCCCACGAAATTCTCCATTTGTATTGCCTCGGGCCATCAGCACGCGCATATACATTCACGCATCTTGTGTCACAACATACATTTGCACTCTTGCCGAAGAACCCGCCAATGTATCACTTGCGGTCCAACTACATACATACAATTTGACTTTGGCCGCTCAAACTCCGTACATATATCAGTTACAGTTCAACTACCAACGGAATACGTGAAGTATCGACATCTCAGCGCGAACTGGTGAAGCCGTAAGAATGAAAATACCACGGGAAAAAAAAACTCAACTCACTTCGAATACTAGTACGTTTAATTCTGCCCGTTGGAGTGGTCACGTTGTTATGAAAATCGACGGAAAAAATTGTGTGCTCCAGTGGAGTTGAGGGATATAAATAATGTACGTACTAACAAAAACAATAGTCACCCCCAAGTGAATATCGGTTTTGAATGAAATAAATTCAAGAACAACTGAACTCATTTAACTGCGGAATAATAAATATCATTTATTTTGAATACGGAATTTCACGAGTTGGTGATCAACGTACTGCAAGTATGATACATTAAAAATGGATTATCGGTATATCTATTTCTCGTGAAATATTCACGACATTTGTGCATTATTCCGCGACATAAATTCTTTTATATTGGATGGACTGGAGAGGAAAAATATACAATTGAACAGAAGTGTAACAAAAGGGAGAGACTAGTTTGAAATTGAATTCTCATGGTGCTATATTCACGTGTACACCTCGACGGTGTACGACTGAATATCGCGGAATGGGAAATAGCTGAATGTATTGGAGCTCGTTTACACGCGGGTCCTGAGACCCGGATCCTGAAACCTAGGGGATGGGGGCTGCGAACGCATGGGGTTGGCTGTGTAATTAATTAAATCGTCGGTAGTAAAACTGCCTGGTATAACCAGACATTTATTTTTCAAATTACCCGTTGGCCAGTATCCACCATCGGCACTCTCTCGAAACCCTCGTATTTTACGTTTAAACTTCTCCAATCTCGCCATTTCACCAGTCCACTCTTTCACCACTTTTTTTTTTTTATTATTCATTGAAAGGGTTATGCCCTATGGGCACTGCATCACCACCAGCATTTTCCCCGGTTGAAAATCTATTTTCTCCTATTGTCTTTCGTCTCCAATTCGCTTTTAAAAACTGTTGACAAATCTCCTTGTTTTTCCTCAGGAGTATTTCCCCTGTTGGTGGTAAAAAGAAGAGGAACTCGGCGTCCACACGAGTGTTGGTGATAAATTCATGAATTCTAGTCGACCAGAGACGGACGAAATTATTCACGCGTGAATGACACATTGTTTCCATCAGTGGAAGTTGCGATGTGCTGAAAGAAAAAAAAAATACTAAAAATAGGAGGTGGAAACGCGAGGGGCATAATTAAGGCGTGACTATAATGCACACGATGATTATTGTTTTTCATTTTCGTTTGACGTTCCAACGCCTCGCTAATCACCGGATGACTCAACTCACATGCTGACACTAATATGCAACGACAAAATATTAAGTTACAAAATGCTAAATGACCATTCCCTGTTGTTTGGAATAGAGAGGTTCGCTATTATTGTCGAGGAATAGTGGGGATTAGTCGAGATTATTTTTGTCCTTTCGAGAAACCAATGAGGGAACAAATAATTCCACCGAATATTGATTATGCTGGAGTATTAAGCGTTTCTAGGATATGATTTAATTTATGTTTCTCGGGTGTTTCATTAATACATGTCCCATTGCATTCAGTGAAACTCCCCTTCTCGTCACGCGGTTAATGATTCACATTACACTATTGATAGTACATAGGAAGAGAGATTTATGGCTTTGGGGATGTTGAAGTGTTCGTGCATTCATTGAGGGTTTGACGAAGTTTCATATTTTCTTCCTGTCGGGCTTGAGCTATTTATTATACTCCTCTCCAACAATTTTCTTCTCGTAAATTATACATTTTTCCATTTTTGTACTCCTGAATTCTCCATTAATCATAAATTCAATGCAAGGTTTGGGATACAATTTCGATTCTTTCTCACATGTAAAGATGAAAAATTCGTATTTTAACTTGTAATTTCGTAACATTTCTTTGAAACACCGATTCCAAATGCTCTTTAAGCCTTTAGTCCTCCGTTTATCTACTCCAGAGACAACCCCACTCCTCTTTTTTCTACAACCTCTCCTTGAAGACAAAAAAAAACAATAAACGAATAACACCTAAATCATCTGAATAATATCACACTCCTCCAACTTAATTCCCAGTTGTAATGATTTGCGTGCCTTCTACGGATAAAGAAATATTAAACTTAGTGGACACTTAAATCGTTAAAGTACATTATTTAATATTTCCATTACGCCAAACTCAGATCTTGACGGAGAAATTTCCACTCTCCAAGTGACTCACCAGACGCGAGTAGAAACGAATCAGCTGTCGTGACATTTCGCGATCGCATTATCAACGCCTTCGGACAGTCAATTACTTATCAATTCTGTGGTTTATCTGCGGCACGCACACGCCATTTGTGCTGGTCAAGCTTTTCAGTTTCATTAGTAACACAGTTGGTTTGAATGCCCCGCAAGGTGGGACACGTGCGTTAGATTGTGGGCATCTAAGTGCAAAAATAATAAACCGTGAGATAGTGGCTGAAGCTGAGTGCAAACTACATGTTACGAGAGTTTTCCGTTGAAATCTCCAGCAAATAATATTTGAAAAAAAAAAGTATACCCTAAACACTGCGGTTAATGGCGTTGCGCAGAAACATGTGTAATTGGCATTTACCAGAAACCCAACTCGAATACACACGTCCCGCATTAGTCGTAGTCGTTGGGCTTTTATCGGATCGCCTGCTCGTGACACGCCCGTGATAGTTGTGCACGTGACTTGTGAATCGCTGTTAAAGGACGTCATTGACGATATAACGAGGAGGGCCGATGGTAGGGAAACCCCACCACTTGCTAAACCTGAGCTCCACCGAGACTCAGTGACTTGGGTATGTCTCAGTTTCTCCATGAAAAAATCTCGGGGAGTTCAAGAATTCGAACGAGCATGTTAACTGAACTAAAAAATTATTTAATCTATCAAATATATTTATTTATATAAATATTTCTATCAGGTTTGACAATGCCATAGGTACTTTCTTCAAGGACGTATACTTGAGAAAATAATTTTTATTGAGTCTAGGAACAGACAAAGACTTCTGCAGTAAAACTACATCGGACACATGAATTTTTCTCGCGAGTATGAGTTTACAGAAAATAATGAGCGGATGGCGAGTTCTGTAATCATTTGAGAAACTCCATCAGAGAAATTGTTCCCTAATTGATGACAAGTATTTTCTCATCTCCCCCTTCTTCAGGTTATCTGAATACTCGATTTGAAAAAATCGCTTGAAATTTCAGTGAAACAGTCATGTCTGACAATAAATATTTGTTTATCGAGTGTTTTTCAGCCGTCGAAAATTATGAACATTTAACCTTCCGCATCCAACGGAAATTTACGTTCATCACATGCAATGATCATATAATACGATTGAACATTTCGCTGTAATCAACGGTTCGCTTGATTGAATTCAAATTATAACGTCACTGGTAATTACCGTTGCGGAGCATCCGATAAGTGGATGAAGTTAATTCAAAAAGCAAACTCTGCAAAATTATTCATCCCATTACCGTAATGTTTCCAAGTCTGGCTTTCATCAGGTTTAAACAGCAAAGAATATTAATGAAAACAGGATAAGTCTGCCCGGACAATTGTTCCAGTATTTAGAAAACATCGGCCATTATAACGGATAATCCTGTTGATGAACAAAGAGAATAGGAGGATCTGATTACGAATTCTGGGGCATCTAGGTGGATATTAGCAGGACCCTGAATTTTTGCGTCTCCACCTGCCGGGAGCACGAAGTTTGCTCAAGTGCTGACTGTCAGTGTACAAACACTTGTTAATTATGTTCCGGTAATTATCCCCGAGAATGATCCAAGCCCCGGTCTCGTTTCCATCATCGTATCCTCCTCTGCAAAACCGGAATCAACATTTCCTCCCGCTATTTTGTTCTTTTTATCATCAAAGCCATTTGCGGAATTTATTTTCAAGGGCTAATTCTCAGTTTATTTTCGAGTTGAACTGTGTTGCAGTAATAATCGTCTCACCAGACAACATTGGATACCGGCCAACTGTCGTGAATTCACAAATTGTCAGAACGTCAGACAAATCCAAAGGTCATTGAGGCTGAAACGACCACGTGGACTATGCCTCGTACATTACAACCTTAATGTACACATTAATTTTCTTTCAGTTCTTTCCATTCTCTACAACTTAGTCGATACACAGATAAACAGATACTCAATGCCACATGTGTTTTCTTCGGAATATTTATTACGGTAAATAACGAGTGTGTTTTGACAGGGAGTTTTCGTTTATTGGTCGACCACGCGGTCTCTGCCTGATGGCCGCAATTGAAAACAAGTGGCTTTCCTACAGCAATTCATTGTACGAAAACACAAAAATTAGTCCCCTGGCTTTCTTGGGTGTTCTTGGTACGCCGAGAAGGCGCCCTCTCTTTACTCAATTGGTTGTGCTGCGGGGATTCCACTGTGTTTGCCTAGATAACAGGCTGATATCACTGATTTCACTGTAATTGCACTCATTCGAGAATTTACGATGGGTTAACGGCTTTCTGGGACTTCAGTCTACACCACTGTCTCAATTTCATATTGTCGGATATCTACTGTGTCACGTATCAACAGTCGCATGACACACCTGGGAATTCGAGAATCAACAGGTGTTGACTCAATGTTTTTATTCTTGTCATTCGGTCTCATTCGAGCTTCTTTTGTGCTAATTTTCATCGTGTAATTCAAAACCCATTATCATTTTTCTGGTATCGATAGTTGCACTCGTCACTTTCAATTTGTTCGACAAATTTTTTTAGCTCTGATTTATTTATAAATTATTTTTGTTTGAATTATATGGTATTGGATCATTCGATAGCCTATCCCTTTGGTGTTTTAGGGTGAATTTTATTATTCTGGTGGTTTGACTGGATTTTCGAAGGTAATTGCTTTATTTTCGAGAATTATTTGAATTGTAGATATGCTTCTTTAGCCAATACCGCGACATGATGTAATATTTTTAATCACCAGTTGTTAGCTTTGTCGTGAGGCTTTTCGGCAAAATGTAAAAAAAACTTTGTAATTGTTTTGTGGATGGTAAAGCTGGAAAAGATTATTAGTCAGTGAGAAAACAAAGCGCACGCCATGAACTCGTGCGAATTCAAGAGCTCGAGATCCCTCGAGTGCTCGCAGACAGGGGGAAAAAAAATTATGGTCGTGTGACAAATGATAATTAATGAGTTGATTAGTGTCGGGTTGTTAGTTACATACTTTTGACAAATATTTGTCAAGCGGTTCAATCCCCGGTGGGACTACAGTTTTCCAGTAGGGCTTTTCACGATTAACTTGGGAATCTTCCGAGACATTCTTTTTTTACAGAGTGAAACACTCACGTGTTGTTTATCACGGTTTTATTATCAATGATCCGCTAACTTTCTATTAATTCGGTAATAATTTGAGAGCTCAATTATAATAATATTCATGTATATGTAGAAATTAATAAAATAATAAAATAGAAAAAAATATGACTACAATCTAGACGAAGTAGGTCAGGGACAGATTTCATTTCACGATTTTTTTTTTAGAAAAAAGAAGATTCAACATTTTCTGAATTGTGATTTTCCATTTTTTAATGATCTTGATACTTAACATACACAGAGAAATTGCGTGAAAATCCCATGATAAGTTTGAATGAATCCATGTTGACTGTTGGACAAAATGTCAAACAATGTTGGCTAAAAGAATGTAACGCACGATTAAACCATAAATCGAGTTATCAAGCAATGTAAATCTGGTGACAGTGGAAATAACCCAATAGTAGGGGTGTCGACAGCCATAAAAAACGACTTGAGAAAAATTTCGCAATCTGTCCTAGATTCCGAGGTATTTCACGAAAGCATACCTATTAGTTAAATCGATTTGTTAATGTCTTCGTCATTGAATTGTCTCGAGAAGAATTGAGATGCCACCGGTACAACGTCCGTATCTCAATTCCATCAGGTTCTTAAACAAACTTGATCCGGGAAACCAAGAAATCGAGTGTTATCTTCGTAACCCCTTTCCCTCGATCCCTGAAAAAAATCTATATTTCCATCCGAAGTTTGAAATTTAATAACTTTCCACTGCTTTCATGCATGAATAGTCATGAAAGCCACTTCCAGAGGTTTCCCTCCTCGAGGATGGCGTGGAAAATGAAAAATGAAAGCTCGAGAATCGCTCGTTGGAATCTATATGACTCTAGCCGAAGCAATTGGGGGACAGCTTGGACCTCGGAAAGTTTCATCCGGTTAATCGTTGAGATTTCGGCTAGTCCGTGAAGTGTTCACATTGTCCCATATTTGAGAATGAAATAACACAAAATCAAGATTAGAAGTCGCCAGTGAAGTACCAGCGAGAAGCTCTTTTTTGGAGTATTTGCGATTTCTCTTGTTGCTCGGTCTCGGTGAAACTTGAAATCATGAATCACGAGGTTCGTAAAAGTTGGAATATAAAGAGTCACGAGGATACAACCAGGCCAATATATCGTGGCTCATTGAGCTGATTAAGTAAGGCGAATAAACATGTGGCTTGTCTCTATATCGCAAATTGTTAGCAATTAATTTTGAAATGAACATCACGCGGTCTGTCGGTTTGCGATTCGTTTTATCGAGCACTTCGAACTCGGGGTTATTTTTCTGGGATTGATGTAATTTATGTCAACTCGTGATTATGATAATGGGAATTTTTTTCCTATCAGCAAATGAATCATGTGACAGCTGTTGAAAAAACAGCTGTTGCGATAGTATTTCTGTAGATCACATGATTCAAAATAATTTCATCATTTTTCGTTTAAATCCATTTAATTCCACTGTTATCTTGAATTGAAAAAACAAACTACAGTTGTAGATACAGCAGTGAATTCACGGACTGTGACTCATTTTGGGTCAATATTCATTGAAAAAACAGCTACGACTTGAGAGAGGTCTCGAATTCCAGCATTGTGAGAATATCCACTCTGGCAACATAATTGAATCTCCAACGCACGAGACCCGCAAAACCCAGACCCCGATAATTACTTCGATCTATTCCTCCGAGTGGGAATATGACATCCACAGCAGAGAGAGACCCAAGTATCTGGAACACACTGGGTTCTGATCCCAATTTCCGATAAGTAATTACATTTCCACCCATGTGCCTATAGACTACTGAAAATTTTCTCACGTGCGTCGAGAGGACCTTGACATTGTGCTCAATAAAGTGAGGGTCTCACGAAATCGGCCGGCAATTACACTCATTGAAAATTTCAACCAGCCACTCATAATAGACAGCTCCAATTATCAGAGAACAAATCAACCGATTCATGTTCAATAATCGCCCATCAGAGTAGAGGGAACGATTCAAAAATTTCTCTGCCCTACAAAATTGGAGTTAAAATTAAAATTTAATTGACATTACTATAATAATTATAAGGGGTGTTCACGTCACAGAGACGTCAGTCTTATCTCAGGAAAAAAAAACTCCATTACCGAATACATGAAGACATCACTTTCAGCCGCGAAATAGATAACGGAGAGTGCAACACGAAAGATCGAGATATCGGCGCGAAATGAAAGTGTAAATGAGAAGTAAGCAAGTTGACAAAAAAAATGTGAAATTCGGTGTCAGTCACGAGAGCAGATTCTAAGAAGCAAATAGTACTCTCATCGGTGATTCTGTTCCAACGGTATAATATCAGGGACGAGTTCGTGTCACGGATGAGGAACTGTTGAGGCTTGTTAAGTTAGTTGTGACACTTCAGGAAGTCGAGGGAAAAAACAGAAATGTCAGTTCGGTGGCTAAAATTAGAAGTTATAATTTTACTTTCATCGGGGTAAAAAAATCATTTTAAATAACATATTTACCCACGTGGAAGTGGAATATATAATTTCATGGTTACTTATTTTCTGCACCGATGAAGTTACACTGGTTTTCTATTTAAAGAGTGTAGCGTGGTATTTGGCACGCGACGGTTTCATGAAGGAAAAAAAAAATAAATACAACAAACACTTTGAGAGTCCAGTGTGAAAACAATTGGCAAAGTGGCACGGGATGAAACATCAAGTTAACATCAATTTTCCACTCTTCTGTTCAACTATTTACAAACTCTCAGGCCGTGAAGTTGCTCCTGTTCATTTAATGAACTGCATTATATATTTTATGGAGCTGTCTGAGATGTGCCATGGACAGTCGTTGAAATCACGTCTGAGACTCGTTGAGACTCATTAAAAATACGAGCAAACAAGTTTATCGTTCCCCGGGGGGTGAGGAAATCCGTGCAACAACCTCAATAGGGTGGAAGGAAACAAGAGGGCAAGTGGAAGGTGAAATGAGTAGATGGAAAACCCTGAAGAGAATGGGCTTGAACCATCTATAGCTATCACTATCACCTCGTTACTTGCTGCAACTGACTCTCAAACTTTAAATTAAAATCACCAACTTTGAAGTTCAAACCCCACTTTAAATTGATTTCAACTAACAGTCCATTGATTTTTGATGAAAAACTCGGGAGATTCTCCTGTAACGGAATTTTCATAGTTAAATGGGGGATTCCCCGGGGTCTATTTTCTTAGCTCAAGTTGTCGGTATTCAGCGGAAACTATACTCGAGGTCCGATGGGATAAACTGAATCTTCAGGATTCCTCTTCAAAATCCATTTACCTTTTCAGGTGTAAAAGGGAAAACTTGGTCAAACATTTTTTTTTATATAAAAAATTATTTCAGTAGTGGTGGGTACGAAATAGGGCACCCGATTCTCGTATTAAAGGTCAGTTGGTGGTGAATGTCTCGGACTCTAGGGGAGATTGCAAAATTCTTGGAGAGATTGTGTTGCAGTCCAGAGTAATATCCGAAAACAGAGAGGTTTTCCACAAATTTTCCTATCTTTTCGACACTCCCAGAGATCCTTCGTGAAGTTGGGCTATTTTAGGGGGAATTTTTCAATTTTCATTTGATACTCATACTCAATCCTACGTGAAAAGCACACGGGAGAAAAGTTAGAGGAAATTTATTGAGAAAAACAGATGATAAAAAGTCCACCACGAAAATACTAGTATCGATCAATATTATATTTTTTAAATATATGTATTGAAGACCGTTTGTCTTTTCATTTTTCATATCATCTACAAAAATAAATGGATAAACTATTCTAGCTGCTGTATTTTTTTTTTTTGCAAAATCTAGATAAAATGTTCTGTGTATAACGCGTTAAAGCGGAAGAGAATCAATTTTACCTGTTATCTTGGGAAAAATTACCGCTGCCACCGGATACGGAGTTATTACTAATTTCCTCGTGAGTTTTTGTTAGGTGGATGACAGAAATTACCGAGCTGCACCATATTGATGGGAGTGGAAGATTGTACAGGACTTCGGACTAGTCTCCCATATAAGCCCCCGGTATAATAAACCTTCAGTAGTTTTTACTATACATTACCTAATTTTTTCCAGTCCTTCGACATTGAATCCACTTTTCCGAACTGCACCGCAATATTTCCCATGAATTCGCTGGAAATCGTAAAAATCTAATGACATGATCTTGCATTTTTTTTTCGTGCAATTCCATTGGAGCTAACACTGCTATTTTCCCAATCTAGGACAGATTATAATTAGGAAAATTGCATATCTCACCGTGTTATACTTATAGGCTTTCCGGTTTTATGTATTTATGATGAGACTACTATTTTTCTCGTGCACAAGCGGTTCAATTTTTCAAGAACAAAATTAACGAAATCAATTTCTTTCGCAATTTCTATTGTTGTTCGAAAATTACAGATGCACTATTGGTAATGATGATAAAATTCTTGAGCCATTTGCTCTGGATATTTAATTACTCTCAGGATAAATCAGAAAATTGAACGATCAAGGACGATGATGATCTTTCTATCAAAAAATGAAAAATATTCAACCGCTATCTCAATTATCTTAACTCTCAACAATCAGGCATTACTAATAAATGCCGTACGTGTCGTCTCTCTCGTAGGATTACTTAACTTAATCTTGAGAATGACATTGCGTGAAGTTGCACAGTCTTTCCATAAGCTGGCGTTCAAGTTCGTATGCTAATAAGACTAGTCATTGAACTTGGTAATGAGCATTGAGCGAGTCATTGAGCGTCACCGCGTGCAAAATAAAAAACTCTTCAATGGAGAACTCCAGTATTCATGGCCGTGGAATTCCAGTTTTCCCGGCAAATCAACTGGCTGCATTGTTTCATGATTCATTCCTCACAATCTGATGAAAAAAAAATGCCATGTAGTTGACAAGAGTCGGCGACAACGGCATGTAAATGGAATCAACGAAAAAATATGCAGTCGCATAAAAAATATAATCACTGCCTAGCAGTCGACCCATACGGTTCCCGAATCACGTGGGATTTCGACAATATTGCGAGATTTATTGGAACAAGTTACACAAGTTTGCACAACTGATGAAATTCCACTAACCTCTGCCTCTCGACGATTCCAAAAATTCAGATTCCCTGTCGATTCATATCGCCAAATTAATTACGGAGACGAATACGCAGAAGGCTATCGATTACCAGAATTTACAATTATGACATTTGTTGATAAACACGCCCAATATTAATTTCCCAAGGAGAAACCGAAATTGCCTATGAAACATTAAATGATTTAGTCGAAAAGTATATCAGTAAATACACAAATATTTCCCCTCAATATACAAATATTATTTATTTCCAAAGAAAAGTCGATCTTTATTTCCAATTCAAATATATTATCTATCCATTAAAATTCATTTAAAATTCCTTGAGGCCTAATGTTCTTTTATTGCTTAACAAAAAAAACTAGCAATCAATAGAGAGCGGATTGCCCTATAAATCCCGTCCCTTTTCTGTTTGAAGTTGAAAATTCTAACGGTTCCTTGACCTAAAAGTGTAAAGATTCCAAAAACTCCAGTAATTACCTGCGCCTAAAAGTCATAAATCAGGTCGTCGCTGGCATAACTGATAACTCGGTATCCAGAGGACACGGAAAATTCTAAAGGAATAGGTTGATCTTCTCCCCTCAATCACCTTAAAACTGTAACAACAAGACGAATTCTTTCGAGTAAATCACGAGATGTGGCACGAAAATCCCCCAATAACGCATCCCAACGCATGTTAGAATATCTCGGAAAATTTCAATGCCGCCGTCTCTCGCGGAAATGCCGCGAATCATCGTGAAAATGAATTGCAAACAAGCCATTAACTATCGAGTAATAGTGAAAGAGTAATTTGGAGGGGATAAATACCGAGATATCCAATAGCACGTGAACATTGACGAATCAAGAACCTCTGCCTCTCCCTTCCATTTATTAACTCAAGCTGAAGATGACGATAAACAATGCGAGCGGAAGATAAGGCGCCTGGATGTTCTGACACGGTCGTTAGCATAATAACACTCAAGTACTTGGTACCCCAACACTTCAGTTCAGTTCGTGCTGACGACTCGATCGCGTCGCGTTGATTTGCCAGACAGTGACAACTCTGGAGTTACCACGCGCTAATTAACGCACACTGTTTATAAATACGGCATTCCACAGACAAATGAGAAAATAATCAAACGTGATAGCTTGTAAATACTGCGACGTGGATTTTCCCATTATATCCTGACCCTCTGATTACTCTGTGACACAGACCTGAGGTGAAATAACAAAACCGTCAATAACCCACACAACTTCGATCCACTCACCCTATTATCACAAGCTGACAAATTGAAACGATAGAAAATCGACAAAATTACCTGTATCATCTTCACAGAGGGTGCGACGAGAATTGAGGGGCTAAAAAATGGTCATGGAGGCATCATCAATGGTGGTGGATTACCTTGTGTTCATCGCAGTTATAATCGCATCGTTTATCATACCGCTGTGGGGTAAATTCCGTACGAAGAAAAAGGAGACTAAGGCTAGCTATGTATTTGCAACGGGAAGCGTGTCAATGGGTGCAATGATGTTGTCCATTGCACGTGGTACACTAGGTGTTAGATCATTTCTTGGATATCCATCAGAACTTTATTACCGTGGTAGCGCAATGTGGGAGACGATATATGGTATGCTTCTGGCGTATCCCATTGTGTGCTACATCTTCGTACCTGTTTACTACAGTCTGGGCATAACATCCGTCTACCAGTACTTGGACATGAGGTAATTCATCAATTATGTCGTGCGCATCGTGTGTCATTTTTATGGGGTTGCACGGAGTTTAATGGGTTTTTTCATTCTTATCGATGCAGATTTCACTCGAAGCTAGTCAGGTGTCTAGCCAGTTTTTCTTATGTACTGAGGAGTCTTCTTAATCTTGCTGTCATTGTCTTCACACCGTGTGTTGCTCTTAACACGGTCATCGGACTGCCCTACTGGGCTAGTATCGTGGGAATCACCACAATATCTGTCGTCTTCTCTTCTATGGTATGTTATGTTTATTCTACAATTTCAAATGCTAAGAGTTTGGTGCTTGGGAAAACAGAGTGATTTTTTCTCAAACTCGGATTTTTTTCGTCGATCAACGGTTTATTCCGCAAACACTCATACTCTAGACGATAATAAAACCCTCATTTTAAAATAAATTTATTTCAAAATAAAATCAATTTTATAAATAAATAATACAAAAATACTTTTTGCCAAAATTGAATATTATTATCAAACAACTATTGATTTTGTAGATTCTTATCTCATAGGTAAATTACGAATGGATCTGGAAACGAAATTGAGTGGAATAATTTTACCAGTTTAAAATTTATTACTCCATTTTGTGGAGGCTTTGTAATTTTTCAATAGACATTTGTGGAATTGTATTTCAGGGAGGTTTGAAAGCAGCCATACTTTCAGATGTAATACAAGGCCTCACAATGATTGGCGTATCACTAGTGATCATTCTCCAAGGTGTCATTGACGTAGGGGGCCCCGGTACAGTTTTGAACGTGACTCACTCCCACGGACGACTGGATTTCTTTGAGTAAGTCCACAGATATCGTTATCTCGCGCATCATGATGTCATTAATTGAAATCAAAACATGAATGAGTGTATTATTTTCGTGCTAAAAAATGTTTTTCTTAGATAAAATTAACAGCCAAATACATTTTTTCCAAATAAAAACTGAATCATAATATTCTCAACCAGTACATAAAAAAAAAATGAAAACACTTGATAACAACTTGGCATTCAAAACAATAAAAATCGCCAACCCTTGAATGAATCATAAAAATGTATTCATTGCCGTCTTTCATATTTTTAGTTTCAATATGGATCCAACCATTCGCGTTACAACAGTGTCAGCAACATTGGGGCAATTGTTCATGTCGCTCTCCATATTTGGGTGCCAGCAGAACTTTGTCCAACGGTACTGCAGCATGAGCAGTAAAAGCAAAGTCGTAAAGTGAGTGAATAATAAATAAAAAGATACAATTTATGATTCTCAATCAGCCAACTCGCTGTATTATCTCGATTGACGCAAGAACGAGCCGATTAAAGATAAAACAAAATTGAATCGTCGATTTGCTTTTTGATTTCAGAACAATGATGGCAAATATGCCAGTTATAACAGTACTATTTTCACTATCCTGGGTAGTTGGAATGGTGATATACTCTTCTTACATAGACTGCGATCCCCTGAAAGCGGGTTACATTTCGAAATTCGACGAAATAGTTCCATTCTACGTTGAGGATAAGTTATCATATCTCCCTGGGCTTCTTGGACTTGTAATGGCAACCCTCTTCAACAGTGCTCTCACTCTGGCTGTGTCTAATCTCAATTCCTTAGCAACAGTTACATTCGAGGACTTTCTCAGTCAGATACCAGCTCTGAGTAATCTCAAGGACCGTCAACAGCTGCAGTTGATCAAATTACTCGGTGTTATATACGGTATACTGATAGTAGGAGCTAGTTTCCTCGTTGGTATGTTGCCTGGTGTTATCGAATCGTCGATGCTCATGACATCAGCCACATCGGGGCCTCTGCTTGGTGTCTTTCTACTGGCAATGCTCGTGCCATGCGCCAATTGGAAAGGTGCTGCTATTGGAATGGTTGTTAGTCACCTTACGTCAATGTGGCTGACATTTGGACATCTCACTGTGACTGCTGGTGCTGAGCCATTACCCCTCTCAATTGAGGGATGCACGAACGATACATTCTCATCCCATTTGCACCCACCAACATCCGTCATTTTCAATACTACACCCTCTGCAACACCACTCCTCGCATCTTCGCCAAAGAATCCTCTCGAATTGGTATACAGTATTACTTACATGTATTATGCACTCATTGGTAGCATGACAACGGTTATCATTGGTACAATTGTCAGTTTACTGACAGCTAATGCCAAGGAGGACGCTTACGAGGAGCATCTCCTCCATCCACTGGCTTTGAAAATATCAAAGTCCTTACCGGGTTCATCAAGACTATACGCTGAGTCGAGAAAACTTGGTGATGAGCACGACGGAACAAATCCTGCCTTCACAGCGTCAATGACATCAGTCGAGAGTGGGGATAAAATCAGTCCACGGGATCTCGAAATTAATGGCAAGGTACCACAGGGTGGACTTGAATACATGAGAAAAGTCAATGCACTTAAGGATGCGTCATTGGAGGTTACTCAAGAGGTGAGTAAAGGCACGAGACTCTGAGTAATTTCTAGCAGAGGGGGATTCAATGGGAAAATGTTCAATGACGTCAAACTGCAGTGATAATACTTGAGAATTTATATTCTTATGAATAATTGACTGTAAGGAATTAACGAATAGATGTTTGTACATAGCGGGAGAAATTGTTTACTTGTTCAACGTAAATGAGCTTTAATCATAGGTAAAATGTATATTGTGTATATTTTTTTATAATTAACTTAGTCAACCCAGTTTGATGATACTTCATAATACCAACGTCAACAAGTTTTCAATCGACATACTCGAGCTTAATTCGCCAACGGCTCATTTCGAGAACATTCATAATTGTATTGTACAGTTAATGAGAAGACAATAGGATTATTTTAATAATTCCAGTGTACTGAAAAGTTTCTGGATGAATCAGGGTGATTATGAGAGAACCAGTGAGAATGTTTATTCGGTGTTGTACGACGAGCCGGTGAGGTTTTAGAGTACTTAACTGCATGATTGAGTAAAAGCATCATTAAAAAATGAATCAGTAATAAGTTTCAAGTTAATAGTAGCAACGTTGTGTTTACGTTGCGATTTATTTAAACCATTCGTATCGAATTTATCGCATCGTGATGTATATTTATTTGTATCGAGATTCGAACAGTTGATATTTCTTCGATAAATGTAATACTTTAATTAGGTGTGTAGATGGGAATTATCCGAATTAAAAAATGTGCCTGAATTTTGTTACGTGTACGTTCGAGTTATGTTGAACCTGTGTAATCTCTTTCATTTTTTCTGTTCCAATTTTCTGCTGTTTAATTATCAAATCCTCTTTGGCGTAACAAAAAATAGCGTAACGTGTACGGCGTATGAATTAACACTGGGTACAAATGCAACGGATGTTAATACTGATAATGCATCCGACTGTTGGATGGATGAGTGCATGAGAGGAGATATATTGCGTGACTGGACATTTCTGGCCAATGTATCAACAGCGATGAGAAAGTGTCAAAAATGTTTTTGTCCACTTTGTGCGAATTATTGCACTCAACGCACAATATACTCTACGTACGCCCACGTTGGTGTGAACGTACATCCAATTAACACAATGTATGGTTATTTAGAGTCTCTGCTATCTCTCACATCCCAATGATAGGGGGGAGTGGCTAATACCATTTATATACCAATAAAGAAGTACTGACTGTAGTCGATTATCACGAGAATTGTCGAGTCCATTCGAGTCCAGTGCCTCGGACTCGACTAATTCGAATTTCGGCTCTTGACGGAAACACGGAGTTACTCATACTGAAAATATATCTGGTCTATGGCAAAAACGCTTTGAAAAGTCTCTTTGAAAACCCATTAAAAACTTTAACTCTTTTGAAATCCCTTATTCCTAATTAGAAGAGGATAATTCACGCCTGAGAAGAGCTAATTTACCACCCAGAAATGTTAATTTAACCACACAATCACGCTCTTAAACCCAGATTTAGCGGTAGAAACAGCTAATATTTGATGCTATTTTAACCGTAAAATCTCGGGATAAACCTACAGCAAATTTGGGGTGATACAGCATTATCGTTTCTCTGTTTCATCCGTATCAAAAGCTTCTCACATTCCTCCAGCCTATTAAAATCCCTGGCTATTGGTAGCTATTGGCAATTTTTTGATCACTCGAGCCTCAAAATCATAAATCTTATTTAAATCAAACCACAAAATCAAATAATCGACTTGAATCAGATTAATATTCCGGAGCATATCTCTCCTAATCACAGTGAATTTCGGCATGATTTCCCCGACTTTTTGGGTGCGGGCAGATATATAATCCCGGCTTATAACAAAAATATATTCTCATCTCGACCGAGATGGACTCGATTTACTGCGGAATTTCGATTGTGAGAAATCCTCGTCATGTCCTAAACCAGTGGGTGGGTCTTAACGTTTCATTCATAATAAATCAGTGGTACCCCGATATAGATGATGGTGCCACCGATTGTGAAGGTGGAAGAATAGTTTAGTAGGGATGGAGTATTCATGGAATTTGGAGAATGAGTGCTGTGGAAAATTTAATACAACAATTTTCACCTCAGCAATTGGGAAAAGTACTTCATTCCCACCCGAGGAATGAGTTTGCACGGTTAGAGGGATGAAGGGAATGGAAAAATAGTTGCAGGGTGTGGGACAAGTTGGGCTTCCGGGGGTTTGCCAGAAAATGTGAGCTCCTGGTTATCGCGTTGAAGATGTAACAACTGGAAGATTAGGTAGATGGTTATCTTTTGTCATTGCTGCTGGTATACTCGGCTGGATAAATGAGTAGACTTGGATGATTTCAACTGTGTCTTCAACCTTTTGCAGAATTTTTTTCTACCATTCTTTTTTACTCGTCCTTTCTAATCCTTGGGATGGATCTCGATTATCGGTCACGTACTGTTATCATTGGACTGCCGTCCAGACGAGAGATTGGATGATGGGTTAGAGTTTCGTGAAGTCATCCCCGTTTTATTCGCAGTCCTGTACTTCAATGTCCTCGGAGAAAAAAACCTCAGGTACTGCAGTAGTACTGGAAATGGGAGTGGCTTCCGGACTTATCTCCACCTTTTCTTTATCTATATTCATGTATCGGAGGGATGGGGGTAGCGGGTTAAAGAAAGGATAAATGAGACTACAAAAACCTTTGGAAGGAGAGGAATTGGGGAGGAGTAAGAAAAGAAAATCGTCTTTGGATAACGTCCAAATTTCAGTCGGTTTGAAACACCCCTAACGGCCAAATCGAATGTCTCTTCATTATTTAAATGAAATTCCTGGAGATTCGCCCACTATATTCCCTCTCAGTCGCTATTTGCTATGAATTTCTCCCGCCTTTTCACCGACAAGAAGAATACATGACTGATAATCCGAATATATTAATTTTCATCACCATGAGTCGTGAAGATAAATAAAGTGTGTAACAAAATGATAAATAATGGAATTTTCATTCACGATTGAGTTATGACGAGACAGAACTGGAATATGAATCGAAATGACAGATGACGTATGACGAAAGGTCATGGAAGATACGAAACGAGAACATTCTCGTCTGGGGGAAAAAAAATTATCAGCGTATTTTCAACGTCAGAGTTGGGATTAGCCTGAGGGAGATTATATCGATGAATATTACGCCGGCGGATGGAATCCATTCGGTTTCAGACATTCAAATCGTCTACGTTAACCGCGATTTTATTGAATAAATTATAGTTCTCCAGAGGGACTTGAATTTCGTGGGTGGGACGAGTGGAGTCCAGCGGCGCTTTTGATAATCAAAATTTCTCCATTTCCATCGACATTGATTTCCATCGTCATCGATTCCCCAACTAATAGATAATGTAAGTACAAATTAATTTTAAAATACTGTGAAATACTTCTGATGAAAAGAATAATTTATTGTTAACGAACGGGTTCAGGTCAAAAATGATAATTGCTTCCAGATCAATCACGAAAATCAGCGGGCAGTAAGAGAGTGATTTGAATTCACTCACAATTTCAAACCGCACTGATTCACGCTATTGAAATTGTTTAACCTTAATTTTACCTTCTTTTTTTTTTATTCTGTCATGGTTAGCCGCGGCACTCCCAACCTCCCACAACTCCGGAGATAAAAATCACCAGGGGAAAAATATTTCACTGGGACTAGTAGAAACCTCATCCCCCGGTTACAAGATGTCTGTGGATTCAAGGTGAGTAGTCTCTTGAACCGAGGAAAAATCGATAATCACGTGAATATACCCAAAAGTCGACCACCAAGGGTCTCTCCTCTCATCCCCATCCTTTGGAGGGATGGGAAAAAAAAGGGAGAGAAAAAAATGCGCTGGGGGCAAATCGCTGCCTTTTACCTCCACCACAGCGTTTCGACTTTCCCTCCTCAAATCCACTGCCCTCTCGTCTTTTTCTATCGCCATTGATCTTTTCCGATCCTCTGATTTACTTACACAGGATAGAGTCCACCAGTGCGTTAACAACGGAAAAAGGGAAAAACGTGGAAAAAAACTTGACCAAATAATTGATTTCTAAATTACATTTCAGTTCGGGTGAATTCTTGATGGAAGTAGAAGAAATGATATATTTTTTTGCCGCTCAGTAATCGGAGATTTGTCACACGGGTGTTCCATTAATTCCGCAGCGGTCATTCGTCATTCCATTTTCTTTTTTTTTTTTGACTCTCAGTCACATGAATGTACAGTGGCATGGAGATACGCATTCAGGTTATTTTTGTGTCTCTTGTGTCTGTCCCTCCGTCCCCCCGTGTTTGCCCATTGACAAAATTCGCCAACACCTCGGGTACGGTGTATGACTGAATTGGAGGGTTTTTTTTTTATTATTATTTGGCAAGCAATTTACGCACACGCCGGAAATTATTTCGTTTTATCTCGTGAAGAGGAAATGTACGGATGCAGGGGAAAATCGGCGAGAAGCGCGTGCTCGTGCGAATATATTTTTGGATGTATGAAAGAGAAGATTGAAGATTTAAAGATTTTATTTAATATGTAAAACATTAAATTTCTAATTGATTGGAATCGCATTTTTTCCGAAATTATGCAATTTTTCGAAAAATTGAAATGGAGAAAATTTTAATTTTTTTAAGATTGTAAAGCAGTTTGGCAGTTGCTGATTCATGTAGCTCCATTTATTTTCATTAATTATTTCTCTCAACTCTCTCCATCATGATATATCTGTCTGTAAGAGAGAGACAGTCGATGACTAGTAGACACAGGAGTAATCGATTAGTTTGGAAACGATTGTATGAACAACACGTCTCTGATTTCAAGATTTGGCCTAGTTACTGGAATGAAATCGATTGATTTCAGGTGGATACCTTGTCGGCTGAAGATCGAGCCAAGTGTCTGTACACCGGAGTACGACGGTATAATCCTTGTATCGGGAACTTCACCAGGAGTCGAGGAGCCCGAACCCTTCAAGACTGTTCTGTACTGTGCAGCACAGATCGACGATGCCCTTCAGAACATTGGCGCTGTTTTACCCATCAATCTACCAGCCAGACGTCTTATCTACAGTCCAACTGGACCACTCAATATGGACTACCATGATGTCAGGAGTTTCTCCGAGGCTGCGATTAGGGGGATTCAGAGGTAATTACACATCACTCTCCGGCTCTTCCTCGCGGCTAAAAAGACCGCTTTGTCACTACCGAATGGCTGTCTCATTTCTCGGGTTTGTCTGAAAAAATATTGATCCTTTAACGTCGCATTGAATAGGACGGAATAAAATGCAGCATCACCTATTACAGTGAATTTCCAGATTTTTTACCAATTAATTAAATTATTTGGTTCAGTTTTTATGAGTCTCATGAGTCCAATACGGGCGACCGCTCTGAATTTTATTCAATATAATATTACCCCCCAAAATATTCCAAAATAATATTATCATATGAATATATTATTTCGCAAGAATATTAGCCCGAAAAATGTTAATAACGTGATATATTACGAGATCATCGTATTATTTTAAAAAATATTTTCATATTGAAAATTATATACCGAATATGAGAATTTAATATTTTTTTTCCTTGTTCTTATAATGTCTCAGGATAATGGGTGGTTTATTAAAATATGTTGAGCTGTAATATTTCGCGTTGTGTCATTTTGGCAGGCGTTTGGGATTGTCGTAAATTTTTCTCTTCCCTCTCATATTTTTTGAAGAAGTTTTCAATCGAAACCTCCAGAAGTTCGAATAATAGTATTACGGAAAAATATCTAGAAATCTAGGGCTAAACAGGGCTTATATACAACCTTTGATCCTTCAACAGCAATTGTTAGTTTTTTATTCGTCGAAAGCTCTGAATTGTAAATACAGAGAGGAATTCCCACGAAGAAAAATCGTCAAAGTACTTGGATATCCTTGAGTAACTGCTTCATGTGAATTTTCAATGTTCAGAATTGGAATTGAATTTCACATCAAAGAGTTCCTCGAATTTCTTGTTCCCCCAGGAATTCAATTAAATCGCAAGGTGCCTGATAAGGAAGTCACTATTTTCATGACGAATTAAATTTTCGAACTTATTGTGAAAAGTGAACATAACGTTCAGCTAAATCTTCAATTAATCAAATTAAAAAATTAGTAATCCCAACTCCCACATGCAAGAATAATTTTATATGTAATTATTTAATTGAACTCAACGATTTACCGTATTTAAAATATTTTTGGTAAAAGATTTTTCGTTTGAAAAATCAGAGTAGAAACACGTAATTCCGTGAATAGTTTACAGAAAATGAAAAGCCCGTCAACTGGGAAAAATTTTTCATCGGATTCCGGTGTCGAGTCGTTATATATCTTTAGCATCTTTGTCTCGCATATTTTTTCACCTCTTCTCCATTTTTCCCATCCTCCTCAGTCTTTTGAAGTAATAGCACAACCTATTTTTCTCCCAACTCAGTCAGCAGCCAGTGCCGACGGCATTTTCGTACCTCACAACTGTGCATAACCGCATATCCCCACCCCAAGTACGCAAGCCCATAAAAAAGCATTTCAACTCGGGTTTGTTTTTAAGCACAGAAAAGCCTTTGATTTGTCCGCAAAAATTGCACCAGCCAAAAGGATTGCACAGTCACCAAATTATAGAACACGCGGCTAAACCGCACGTGTCACTGAAAAATTGCAATTTCCAGTGACTATTCAATGCATTCCGCATAACAAATGCATTCGATAAAATCCATTAGTTTTCCCTCCCCCGATCTTTCATAGTCTTTAATCTCCGGATTATTCTTAATGGAAAATAGCACTTGGATTGAATTACTCCTTATTAAATCTCAGGCACTAATGAACTCTTGAAAATTTTCAACATTTCATTAGTCTCCGCACAATACTTTTCTCATTAAATTTCACCCCCTGCAATTTCAGTGGAAAATATCATAAATAATGATTATGTACTTTGCCGGGCGGTAATTTCGTGCACGCGGTTCCTTTGGTAGTGAATGCGAAAATGCGCATAAAGTGGCGAAAAGAATGAGGAGAGGAGGGGGTGAGGTGGTTGTGCAGGTCAGAGAAAAATACAGTGAGAAGAAGGGTTGAAAGGGGATAACATGGGGTGGGATAGGGTAACTTGTGTTCTCTCATTCAATTACAGAAATTGTTTTTCCGATCCTTGAGAGCTTTGCCGCAACCTCCATTCACTGGGGTAAGAAGATTTCACGTGGATTCTCCATTCGCGACTTTCTCCTCCTAGGAGCATTCGCGAATGGTTATCACGACGAAAATAGAAAATTTCTAGTTATTTTGAATTGCATTAGCATAATGAGTTTACTGAGTCTCAGGAATATTGTAATTTTGTGGTTCACTCTGTGGCTTTTCATTTGCAGATAAAAAATTGGATGAGGTTTAATCATTTCAATGAGATCCGGGGGAATAGTTTGTATAAATGAATTGACTTCGGGGAAATTCCTTAACTTTCTTCGAAATAACCTGGCAACGGTTTAAAAGTGTTGCACCGGTATTGGCCCGTTATATTTTTCTTTGGAAATTTTTTTTTTTTAATAATCACGGGAATATATCGACTTCTGTGTTTATTACTTTGTGTTATTTGAAGCACAGGAAATTTCTCATTATCGTAAAAGTATTAATAATTGGAAATTCATCGTTACTGAGTTGTGATATTGAATAATTAAATTAGCCAATAATATTTTGATGTTAGGGAGCGAATTCCGGTGAAAAGGAAAAATTTCGTTGTAATCATCTTCAATAATTGATGATTTAATTCTCAGTTTCTGTGGAAAATTCGATTAAATATTGATTGATTTCCCATACACCAGCTGTTCTCACATTTATTGCACTGGAGAGTGGAAAAAACTTTATTTCTGGAGAGCTCAACTGGAATATCTCCAAGAAAAAGCATAATAACTGCGCCATGCTCTCATAATTAATTTTTTAGCGTAATGAAACCGTTAAATTTCATGACAGAGATTAATTACCAAGAGTTATTATGATATGTAGAGCACTAAAAGCTGGTGTGAGATGTCCAATGATCGTTCTACTTCCCGACTTACGCTTCGAGAATGTAGAGCTGGTCACCCTTCTTGGTGCTTTGGAGGGTCTCTACGTTGTAAGTATCCCCTCAAATATTCTTCAATTTTTTATCTTTCACACCTTGATCATATACTTTAACTCGGTCATCACAGTGACTACCCACTTGGCTGAATGGCGTAGTTCTCGTTGGGTTCCTCATTAGACGTGAATTTTCTCTGTTCCATCAAGGGCCAACTCCATTCTACCCAACAGTCTCGTGTACTCTCATTCTGATTCATTATATCAATTCATCAACTCGAATTCAGTATGAGGGAACAGGGGAAAAATGAATTTGCATGTGACATAATTACGTGTGTTACCTTAATGATCGCGAGTCGCTGAAAATTGATTGGCCCATTAATTCTGAAAGTATCTGTGCAGGTGCATCTAAAGATATGCGACCGTTCTGGGGGCTTCACTTACGTTTTTCATTCAACAATGAATCTGGAAAATTTTTATTGTTTTTACATTTTATTGAAATTCCGGAAAATTCATTGCTATTTATTTTTCGGGGATTTTTCCGCGAATCTGAATTGATTGGTCATTTAATAAACAATTGGGCCAGACTCTATATCGGATTAATTAATTCAATATAGCCGGTGGAAAGAACAAAAAATGATAAAAATTCAGGACAAAATGGAGAAATTAATTATTTAGAGGATAAGTAATTATTTTTTTTATCAGTATAATTTATTTACTCCCCATAATAATAACGAACTTGAGAATAGTAATAAATAATAAAGTTGGATTGAAGAATAAGTTCTTGACTGCAACCGCCAGTGAGTGAAATAAAAAAAGTTTTCCTTGATTGCTGTCGAACACTGAAGAGAACTGTGATCGGGCAGAAGGTGTATTGCGATGTAGGGAGTAACTTTGGTTTCCAACAGCAACTTTCAACCCTCGGGAACTGTAAACCCCAGCCTGTGCAAATGGATGTAACGGCCTGGCGTTAGATGAGTTTAAAGTGCACGCTACCATGTACTTTGGGCTGCAAAGGTAGAGGATGTACGAATATATCGAGAGGCCCGATGAGGGAGAGTTGGCCGAATATCCATCTCGTGGACCTCAAACTGAAGACCCCTCTTTGCTCCTTTCCCTTCAGCCTGCCAACCCCGCAAGGTAACGAATACCAAGCGTTCCTCAATCCTGTGGCAGCCAAGCAAGCGACCTAATTAGCGAAATACCCGAGCCATCGTCTAGCTTCTTTGGTTCCTACCCAACCTCCACGAGTACCGAATTGATAGACCGTGGGGGGGCGTATCATTTTACGAATACCAGGAGCAACACCAGTAGATTCTTGTATCGTGTAAATGGAAATTCGGGGAATGAAAAAAATTATCAGAAATGTCAGGGAATCGGAGGTGACTTCAAGCTCCTCTGGAATTTCACAAACTTGACTTCATCTGGGTTAAGACTGTCTTCCACGTGAGATCCGTTTCGAAGTTGAAGAAATACTTGGCAATTGGTTTGATGGGCGACTTATGGCTTTAATATCTTTTTTTTTTCTTTCCCCTGTTGTTCAGCCGCTGGAGGTGAGGGAGAGCCATCCTGGTAGATGCTACAAAGCCCATCAACTTGGAGTCTGGAGTACCATCTGCAGCCAGAAGCTCCAAGCCATCGTGAAACTAGCATCGGCACTAGAGAGTGGCAGATACGTCGCAAGGGATATCGGTGGGTATTCAAGTGGAATGAGATTCCACTTCTTTTTTTTTAGCCTATTTATTTTTCTTTCATTTTCCTCAAACGTCATTTTATTACTGCAAGCGTGGTGTCGCAGGGAGTTTGCGCGATAAAGTTTTTCGAGTGCTGGTGTAGGGACGAGAAGAGGCGAATGGAAAAAAGAAAACAGCCGATGGGTGGGATGCGGACGAGAAAATAAAAAGGGGGAAGCCTTCAATTGAGAAAACGAGTGAGCGTCAGAGTTTGTTCGTTTGTCGAATGGAAAGAATGGAGTATGAGGGAGAAAAATGGGTGGAGATGAAAAAGTGCCATCCTGGCTTCCTCGTCCTAATTGAGAATGGAATCGACAGAGTTACAGAGTTGCCTCGCTCCCCCACGGCCCTTTTTATTTTTCTTTCAATTTGAGCGAATAAAAAAAGTGAGGAAAAAAGTGGCCTCGGGGGAGGGACGAGCGGCGAACGGCGAACGGCGAACGGCGAGTGGCGAGTGGCGAACGACGAGCGGTGTGCTTTATCTATCATCGACAGAAGAGTTAATAAGACAATTTATTGACCCCCAGGTGGTGCAGATCCTGAGCGCATGACACCAACGAGGGTGGAAGAGTACATAGCCGAGTTGTTTCACGGCTCAAACATAAGCGTACAAGTCATCAGCGATGAGGATACACTTCTCCAGGAGTATCCTCTCTTCGCAACGGTAAACCGCGCTGCCTCGGTTATTCCACGCCACCGTGGTAGGATAATATTTCTCACTTACGAGCCGCAGAATCCAGCCTGTGTATTAGAGACCCTTCTACTTGTGGGTAAGGGTGTTACGTATGATACTGGCGGTGCTGATATCAAGATTGAGGGAGGTATGATTGGAATGTCGAGGGACAAGTGCGGCGCTGCTGCATGCACCGGTTTCATGCAGGTCTGACTTCTCACACCTCTATCATATTTTCCTACCACCCACTCCAACTTCTTTATCGCATTCTCATTCCTCTTCTTTTAATATCCAGTATTTTTCACTTTACGACATTCTTCTTATCGCGACTGAAGCTGGGGGAGATAATAAAAATTTTGATATAGGTGGTGAACCTCCTTCAGCCACCAACAGTCAAGGTTGTTGCGGCGTTGTGTGTCGTACGGAATAGCGTTGGGGAGAACAGTTATGTCGCTGATGAGGTGATAACTGGAAAATCGGGTAGAAGAGTTCGAGTGGTGAACAGCGATGCTGAGGGACGGATGGCTATGGCTGATGCCCTCTTTCACATCAAAGAGATGGCCCTTTGCTCTGTTAATCCTCATATATTCACTGTTGCCACCTTAACTGGTCATGCTAAACTTGCGGCGGGCACCGGATACTCTGTGAGTTTATGAGCCATTTTATTTGGAACTCAGCTGAAGTTGCTGATGAATTGTTGTCGGGTTGTATTCACGTCTTCGGGGCTCTCAAGTTTCAGGGCGAGTTTCGGTTACGGAATTTTCAATATTTACCATAATTCCATTGGGCGGTTTCTGCAGATGTGCAAAATTTATTAGAGTGATGTATATGAGCCTTTCTACCTCTTTCGGGCTTGCGTTTCCAGTTTTAACTTGTTTTACCATTTGTCAGAAAGTCTGGTAATTTATTAAACCACCTGTACTCTGTCTGTTGCCGCTGGGGCTCTTCGGGGTAATTAGTTTTGAGGGTTTTGTATTTTTACATCAATTTTATTCGCTGTGAACACTTAGTTCACAGTGGTACTGAGGTACCGTGACTATTTAACACACAACAAGTTCAACATGCTATAACTCAGGACTAGCTCAATTTAACACAAAGCAAATGCAATACAGCATGAATTCAACAGTACATCCGCTTAAAGCGCTTTTCACTCATTGAAGAAGAGTTTATCTAGTCCTCCACGTCTTTGCCACGTTATAGAAAATGCGTCGACGCCGGATAATATTTCACAAATTTTTCATGAGAAAGATCGATAATTTGCATTAATTACGTTCATTGAATAATCACTTGAATTTTTCGTACACAAATAAAAATATTCTGCGACATGTCCATTCGAATTCATGCGAAATACGATTTCATTACAGAACGAATAGTAAGGTAAGTGTAATGTGCATGAAGAAATAAAGAAAAGAAATAAGCACATGACGAATATATCTGAAGATGATATCTACTCCGTTCAAATAATCATTCTCTCTCGACGTGATCTGACGTTTCATAAAAAGACAGAGGCAATTTCGTTTGATATTTATGATGGCTATCTCTGGCAGATTGTAATGGACAATGCGGTAGCGAGACAGTCGAGTAATGCAGAGAAACTCCAGGCATCCGGTGAGACGATGGGCGATCCATTTGAAATATCGAGAATACGTCGTGAGGATTTTAGGTTTCACGAGGGTCGTGCTGAAGGCGACGACGTCAGACAAGCAGCAAATGTACTCAGTACGAAACTTGAGCGGGGCCATCAGGGTCCCGCTGCTTTTCTTATCATGGCTTCCGGCTTGGACAAGGTAAATATACCAGGTCCAAAGCTACTTTTGTTACCATTTCAGTAAAAACGTTTGGCCAACCACGAAACACCACATTGGCTGAAGGTTATTTCAAGCGGGGGCATTTCCATTTTATATCGAGTCAAACTGGTTGTACTGTGTAAATGTTAACGTTGAAACTCTGTACATTTAGCACGGGTTAGGGGCTGACAGGCCTTTGAGATACAGCCATTTGGACATCCATGCGAGCGCACGTCGATTACCTGATCAGCCTAGTGCTACACCAGTCCTGGCACTTGCTAAACGTTTCCTAATTGACGGAAAGGCCCTTTAAACACCTCAATACCACATCAGCTGATTATCATCACTGTTTACAGTGGAATTCCGTTATAGTCGCATCTCTCCTTAATTTATTTTTTCGCGGGTCTTTGGGTTACCTCTCTATATTACTACCGGGTTACACGATCTAAACGATCCACGTATACTTGAAAGCTGCCAAGGAAATATTTCTTGATAGTTAATGAATAATACAGTTCAGGCGGGCGAGTCAAATCAAATATATTCGCCCTGGTTGACCACGAATAATATTTAATTAAGTAGAAAAAATCGTAAACTGAAAATACGGACTTCTGCGGAGTAATTAAACCCTATAAAAATGCGCAGGTTTACAATGTTATGTTGAATAATTACATAATCTCTTTAAAAGTATAAACACAGTGCCTAATGAATTACCCATCACGATAATCCTTTATCCTCATCTTTATGGGAATATATAATGAAGAAACTACAAAAGTCTGCAACACTCTAACCGTTTTAAGTATTCAGATTACCTCGGATTATCGAGCAAATGTCTTGGCGCCCATAAACTCTCTCCATCATCGTCAATCCAGCCCAGTACAAATAAATAAATTAACCAGTCTCTCTGTTTTCATCAGATAGCCCCCAACTCTTCGCGACTCAGCCAGCCGACTCAGAAGCCACTGAATACTCAGCTGGGATGATCCCATAAAGATCTCACATCTCTGAAATAATTGCGATCCCAAACTTTGCCACTGATATCCCCAAAGAATAATCTCCAGTTGCATAATATTGCATTAAAACACCAACATTCAAAGCCATTATTTTTTCATTGTTTAATTACCGACGTTGCCTCGTGCCATGGAATTAAACGTGTTTGAATAGACGCCTTACGCCGTAAATTCACTCACGTTGAAATCCCAGGCATTACGGCTTTTGGTACAGTGCGATGGGGCTGACGTTGCTAAATTTTACGACTCTCGAGTATAAAAGCTTGCGCAAAACCCATACAAGAAACCCTCAAGAGCACCAATAGATCCTGAACCCCTTCACAATCTATCCTAGTTTATATCTGCAGTTCATATATCTATTGAACCTAGCTGAGCTCAACAACAAACACGCCCTGACCTATACCGGGGATTGTTTCACACCCATCGTCCATCGATATTCTACTCCAACGAATTTACGTTCATACGCCGAGACGAGCTCTCATGGTTATTGCACGTACCGGTATGCCCCCACAAGGACAGCCGGCGATTTTTTTTCTATCCCCTCAATTTCTTTTTTTTACGATTATACGTTAAACATTTTACGGCCAAATATTATATCAAGTGAAATATTTTTATTTCAACCAATATTTTACCGTCAACCCACCAAACCATTCAAATACCTGTATCTCATGTTATTGCAGCACGGTGCATGTAGCTGCACTCCCTTAAAGTATACACACGTTGGAATTGGTTCCCATCTATCATCACGTCAAGCACTCGAAGTACCGTACTCTGGAAATCCTGTGCTCGCCATGTCATACTGCTATTTGATCCAGGGCAAGTGTTTGACAATACGAAATGATCCGCCGGATGAGATGCAATATGTCTGCGAGATTGACTGCAAACCCGTTGGCATTGCACCATCGCCGTGTGGTATGATTGGGGATTCAGTGAGAAATCCCTGTATCGTACCCTGTACACCTACAGCTGGCGAAAATTCATGTCAATGTCCTGGGGATGGATGCAAACTGCCGGGTGAACAGCTCATTGTTGAGCCTATTTGTTTGCCCAATGCGAAGAGGAATGGCTTGTAATCATGGGTCGCAAGTAGATGAAGTACCATATAGCAAGACAACTGGTTGCGAAAATAAAGTATAAATTACCAATTGTTGGTATTGAGGCCATGATTGACCCGACAGGTTGTCTCGTTACCAAGTCATCTTACTAATTCCGGATATTGTGTACGCTCATTCGGTAATGCAGGTCTCTGTAATATACAAGGGATAATTCCCTAGGGCCAGAGATAAAATTCCATTTTATCAACTCGCTGCGTTCACTGCTTCTCCATCGGTAAGTCAGTTATCTGGATGTCGAATGTATGCAATTCTGCAATTCTGCAATTTCTCGCTCTTCTATTCGTCTAGCGCATACAAAAAATATGCTAATGCAGTCAGTAGCACAGCCACAAAACAACCCATTTTTACATATTTATTTATGCATATTTATCGATATGCACCCACAAGCCGGATGGATCTGTTACAGCATGCATAATTCAAATGGGGAGACATGTTTTATGAGAATTCCAGTGACATAATATTGACCTCGGGTGATATACAAGACGGTGGTTGGGACAGGTATGCTGACCACCAAAAGCAAACTTTCTTTTTAAGGTACACCCTTTCGATGATAACTTGACTGCTGTCGAAAATGGGGGGAAAAAAACCGCAACCACCGGGGAGAGTAGTAAAATTTTATGGCACAAGTTACGTTGGCGATCTCCGGCTCGTAGTCGACGAAAAGGTTTCCAATGAAATTCAAAAGATTCACTTGGCGGGTAACGAGTCCCTGTAACCTCTTCCACTTGGCCTTTGGGCCCCGATTATTGCGCGATATGCAAGGGACTTGTTTTTTTTTTTCTCTTATCTAAAAAAATGCAGGGGATTGAGCTGAGAATTTATCACAAATCGTAGACAATGTGGGAGTGTCACGAACTAATGCCTCCGCATTATGCAATCCTGCGTAATAAAATCGATGGTTGAGCCTAACAAGGTAATGAGTCGGAAGGGCTGGCGACAGACTTATTAATAGAATGACAATGCTGATCAGATGTAGAACGGGTAAATAGACGTAACAGTGACTTCGAAATGTGAAGTTGAGCGTGACTGGGTAGTAAATCTTCCCCGGGTTTATTATAACTCCGGGTGAAGACGAAGTACACGCGATTCATGCATGTCGAGCATTTGCTGATCATGAGTCGAAGTATGCATAGACTCAGCATTGATATATCAGGGTTTCGTGAAAAGTTGTAATTAATTCGGGGTGGCGGTACACACTATATACATGATAATGGAAGAAGAGCAATTGACAATTAGCATTGCGCGAAATATTCATGTCCCAAGAAATATTCATTCAGATTAAAAAATATTTGACTAATAATGCCTCAATATTTATTAGTCATTCTTCAAGATTTATGATAATGTGGCATTTAAAGGGGTCTTAGCAGTCTGTGATGCGAACAAATATATTCAAATCCGCGAAGAAAACTCTAGACTCCCAACAACTCTAATCCAAATAAAAGCAATATTCCTGTAAAACCTGAAAATTGTTTATAAACGTGTTGATTGAGCAGGAAAAGTGGATACATTTGTACGAACGATTACTGCCACATGAATTTTCTCATCTGATGCCTCCTTGACTTCCGCAAAGATCCGATCTCTTGCGGTTGGATGGACGCAGGGTCTAATCTCTAAGCCGAGTGTCTGACGCTTTTATCTGCCGGTAACCCTTTGCAAACCTTTTTCTTTTCATTCCCCTCGAAATGGCCCTTTCTTCCCGCCCAACGTCCTTAATTTTCTCATTTTAATAGAAAATACCAGAGTTCCCAGGGTTTTGAGAAAGATGAAGAGAGCATTTTACGGTGGATTTTATTAACTGCCACCCTGAGGCCACCCTGAGGCCACCCTGAGGCCACCCTGAGGCCACCCTCGTCGATGTTTTGCCAATGATACCCGGAAGCTCATTGCATTCAGAGATTATCATTGTGCGGTGGAAAAAACCTCGAATTAGAGAAAAATAAATGGAAGAAAAAGAATCATGACCAAGCAAGGTCGTGCAAAAATTTTCTCGATTAAATGTCTTGGCTCGTCTTCACGGAGATTCATCGATACTGCCCCAACAGTTAACGTATGTATCTATGTATGGACCGTTCTCGTGCAGGATGCGTAACTTCCTGCATTTCAGGGTTGCCTCTGCACGACGAACGATCACTGCCCGACGTGAAAAACCGGCCCGTGGTTCACTCACACACATGTACCCTCTCATCTCTCTCACTTTTTCATCTACCTCACTCACCCTCCCCCCCTTTATAACCAATCTGCCGGCAAGCTGTGCTATGTTTTTTTCATCTTACTTTTTTTTTAACCCTCAGTCGAAATGATGGACCCCTTGAAAAATACTCCGGAAAATCAGGGGAGGAAGATGATATTGGGGGAGAGATCTTTTGTACCGCGGGTGGAGATCGCGTGGGGTTTTTTCGGGGAAAAAAATGGCAATCGGATAAAAAATCTCAGATAATATGCATCCGGCGGCCAATGGACACCCACTGCATCAACCGGAAGCTGGAGATTTCAGGATGCATTTTTTTTAGTATCATCGAATTTTTGGGGGAAATGCTATAATCAAATATTTTATCCGTGGATAATTATCTGTGGGGTTTTTATTTTTGAATTCGATGAAAAGGAAGGGCTGGGAAATTATCTGAATGGCGGGCGAAGGGGGGAAATGTTAGTGGGTGATTTTTTATATTGCTAATGGGTGTATCGGCTGGTGATAGTCCTTGTACTAATCGTAAATGTCTAGACGAGAGACATGGCTGATTAATGCTAGTATGGATTACTCCCTTTGGTTTCATCAATGGCTTGCGTGTTCGCCAGCAAATTGAGACGCCACCCCTCGCAAGACCACCGATACTCTCTTAAACGTGTTATTTATTCGTGTATCATTGAGTCTCTGACGCACTTGGATGTTCAATCGCTTCTTCATTTTCGACGAGTGAATCATTTCCACATTTCATTATAATTAACCTCGACGTCCAGTGTCGTTAATCATCATTAATTATCGATTTTTCCTGATTGCGTAATTGATTTATTCCCCTCTAGGATTTCACTTCAATGAGAAAAAAATATTCCATCCGTTCGCATAATCCCCAAATTTTTATCAATTTTCATAATAATAAATCATTTTTTTCAAAAAAATATAAACTTTCAATAGAAATTAAATAGAAAAAATTGATAACCAAAACCTGGAAAATTCGTGTTTAATTATTTAATCATATTCATGGAATTCAATTTGATGAAATGACGTTATGCAAAACTGATAATTGATCAAAGAATTTTCAACAATTAATAATGATCATCAATGATTGTCCACGAGTCGTCGGTATATAAAAGACACCCGATGGACTCTTTTATTCAATGTTTAACGGTCCTAACTGCACTTTTAGCCGTTTCAAAGAGAAATAAAGGCTCCAACTTCCGCGAGAATCACCTGTCAATCAGCAAACCAATACGGTAAAACACGGAAGTTTAACGGATATTTTGCCAGTGAATAAGACACCCAAAAACATCGGCAATTCGTTGGAGGTTTGATTGAACAAAAGATTTGAAATTGATAATAACAGGGTAGTTTCATAATGAGGTGCGGTAAAATTGGCTGAATTGCGTACAGTGATCCTGAAAACGTGGAATTAATGGAAAATAAGACCAAAGAACAGCCGGCAAAAATATTTGGGCACCTGGTTCCCAACGCAAAACCACTTGAGAATCCCCCAGAGGTTTATTGCGTGAGCAATTCTCTTCCGGGTGGATCCTTGACAATATTTATACCGAGTAAAACGGCATATGACGATTGAAAATCGGTGGTGGAGGGCCGAAAAGTGAAGAGAAAAGAAACGTAAAATTTCTTGAAGAGGGCGGGATGTCTTTCCAAATGACTCCCTCAGTGGTATGCGGAAGGGTTGAACCATTCTTTACGAAATTCTTTTTACATTATTCCACAAACCCCCGCAATAAGGCGGGTGGTTGCGGTGCAATCCCGTTAGGCACCCGGACAGCAAGCTGTTTTTTTTTTCTCCTCATGCTTCCTCACTCCGTCCTTATTCAATTTTCAGAGAATACGGAACCACTTGAAGACATATGCCTCAACGAAATTTCGGGGTGAAAACACTTTTAAGACCCCCGGAATTGAAACCGTTTTACATCGCTGGAGACGTTGGCCATCATCGGTTGATGATTAAGTAGGGGAAGGAGTATGTGGTATTACGGCGGCATTATGATGCATTACGTGGCAGTTGCCACTGGCTCAGAGAGGAAAATCAACGGCGAAATGCATCTGTTGCTCCTTGTTAAGCAAAAGAAGAATTGCGCTAAAGGTGTACTTTGTGTTTCATCAATTGATTTTTCATTCGACAGATGAACATGCACCTAACAGCCGAAATACTTCCCAGACATTTGCCAATTTCAATAATCCCATTAAATTATGCACTTGATTGCTTGATTAAATTATTTGACATCCCTTTGAGATCAGACAGCCAACGGAACTCATAGAATGACTTAATGAGCTGAAAAAACGCCATTTCTGCGGATAAAAGGCATTAGATTATCATTTACTAGAAATACTAGATTGTTTTTTATAAAAGATGCCGAAATATTGATAATTTCCTCGTCTCCGACAGCTGAATTCGGAAAACAGAGTTTTCCCAGGAATTTTCGGTATTCTTCTCCGGTTCTTTGGAACCAATGATAGATTTATGGTTACAACAGGTAATCTTTAACAATAGCTCCACTGGTCCAGAATAGATTTTGGTGACGATCATGACATTCTGGTGTCTCATGAGATTGTTCTCCAGAAAGAATGGCTCCTAGAAGTAGAGAGGGTCTGGATTGAGTTGTAAATTTAGATATTATGGGGGTTGCGTAGCTTTTTACTGTCATAAAGTCATTATATTGCGGACAGGCTCGACCACCGTCACGCTCGTCCGCTCAGAAGTGTATATTCTCTTGAGTTGCCTCGTGTCTTTTATTATTTTTATTATTTATAATACCTCGCATGCCTGCTCTCAATTCATCGCTCGACCGTAACTTCCTCTCCCTCATCGCTACGTCAAAGAGTCCTTCGTCATTGTTCGCCTTGAGAGTTCCGGATTCACGGGCTTTTTCGTGATAAATATTTAATCACTTTTTGTTCGTTATGATGTGGATTCATGATTAGTCATAAATACTAAGTAAATTACATGATGAAACAAACAAAAATCCATGAATCCCCTGGGTTTTTATGAGGGAATCACGCGCAATCAGATGTTTTACGTTGGGACAATTACAGTTTTACTCCACTTTTCTCAGTTCTTTATTAAAAAAGGGAGCTGTTATTTGGACATTCTTGACTGGAACTTTTGGTGCACTTCGTGGAAATGTTCATCACAGTTTTGTTGCACTGAAGCCGCAGGAGACTCGCGCTATGGGAAATTCTTACATTACTGTTCAATTATATAAAAATTCAGGTTTTCGCAGAACAATTCAGTAAATTGGGAGAACCCCGCCTTCCTGCCTCTCCCAAATTGAATTTCATTTCATTTTCACATTCTCATTTAATTAAAGATCGACTCAAAGTCATTCCGGAAAATTCATAATTATTCGTTCATGGAATGGCATTTTCTCGATACTATAGTGAAGTCTCATGATCCTATCAGATTTCGTGGAAGACTTTTGGTCTTTCTCCGCGGAAAAATCAAAAGAAAAATATGTAAGGATGTCCGAAAAATATTCAAGGCCCATACCGTAATTTGTCCGCAAAATACCTGCGACCTTTAGCTTAATTTTCCTTGTGCCAAGTGTATTTATTTACAGCCACCCCTGGAGTGTCCCATGATTGGCATTTTGTTTGTCTTCTTCTTTGTGCCTGCGAACCTGACCCGAAGCACAAACTCTCCCAAAGAAAGTGCTCCCAACTTCCGCCTAACGGTACCGCCAAATTTCGACCGGTAAACCAGAACCGCCTCTCACCCCCGCCAACTGAAAAAATTCACGAAAAAAAAATCAACTCCGAGAAAATTCTCGAAGAAAAGGTCATTGCGATGCATATAGTCAGTAACTGAATTGAAAGTTCACGGCGAGCGGGAGCATTCGCTCGTGCCGTAAATTTCCGTGTCACTGGTGGTGTTCATAATCATTACATATACATTTTACCCTGCATAATGACTCCGAATCTGAATCCTATATCTCGTACCAGATTACCTGGATGCTGTGATTCCCCAGAGGATTATTCTAAATCCTTCAAAAATTATCCAAGAATTTCTGTATTATTTATTTATCTTTATTATTTGCTACTGGATGTATTGGAAGCATGAGAATGAGCATCTTCAATAAAAAATACTCAAAATTGTTGTATTTCATGAAAATTGTTTAAACCTCTTGTTTCCAGGAGGGACCAACCCTTAACTCTTTCAAGAGAGACTATAATGCGACTTTACCCTTTCGCCTCTAGACCGAATTGAGGCATGCTGTCCCATTCCAATTGAACCTTAGATAACAAGTTTTAAATAAAAAAATCCGGATTTTCTATTTTAAGACTGAAAGAGAAATAAATGCACGGAACAAATTGAAAATAAAAAAATACAGGTTCATGTGGCATTTTCTATGTTTTACACTTCTATAATGAATAATTTAAAGAAATGATTTTTTTTAGTTGAAATGGAAATAAGTTTGCTGTAAAAAATTGATTACTTAAAAAGTGTGATTTTTCTATGGAAATGAATAATTACCCACCGACCTCTGACCTCTGCAATCAACGAGTTATGGAACAGAGCGTACATCCTTAAGTCGATCGTCATCGACTCGATAAACTTGGATTGGTTGAAGGCCTCCAGCCTTCGAATTAATGAAAATGTAAAAAGTCCTTCAAACGTTATGATTCATGCACAATCTGTCGATCGTTGCCGCTGGATGAAGAAGCGAAAAAATATCCTAGAGAGGAACTTGGATCCGCATAATTATTCATTCAACGTCGAGCAAGGACGACTAATCCTGAAAGTGCAAATTTTCATAAAATCTCAATTCCTCCAATCCTCTCGTTCCAATCGCAGCACCATAATGTCTGCATTGCTCTGGAGATGCCACCTAGATGCTAGATGCTAGTCTCCACTTTGCAAATGATGCATCAATAACAGAATATAGTGTCCAACAGGAACTCCTGCAATTGCAATTGCAAATAACCAATAGCCGGCATCAATTCAAAGAATGAAAATTTTGAGGGAAATACTTGAAGTGTTCCGGTGGAAGTTGCAGAAGTTGTTAATGATGGAGAGACAGGAACTCGGTGGAGATGCTGTCTGCCCCTTGCATGGTGCATCAGTAAGAGAGAAGCAATGGACAGAGGGAAGGGGGAATTCCTCCACCGGTGTGCCGAGGACGAAGGGAAGAAAGAGGTGAAGACAACACGAGGAGAGGCCCAGTAACCCAGTGCCGAGGACGTTCACTGGTCTGCAAAAACAAAAGAGTTAGCGCGTGCCACGCGCCGATCGCATCCCATCCACGCACTGGTCTCTATTCAAGGTGATATTTTATTCCCCAGCATCTTCATTGCAATCAGCTCAGCAAGATAATGCGATTGTAATCGCCCGATGGGGAAAAAACGAAGGCAATACTTAACCCAAGAATATTGTCAATTCAGTCATTAATTTTTAACTACCCACTCCCAACTTATTACGGGTTATTACAATGTTGCAGAATCACGATTTATCATGCCTATTGATTTTTCCATCAGATGGCTATCAACGAGTCAGATTATTCTTCATTATTTTTATCGTCTTGTTTACTTAAATGGCAGTGCGATTGAATATTCATGAATCTCCCTGAAATTTAAATAAACATGGGATTAGGAATTCTGGAATTGGGAATAGACTTGAGACAAATCACTGAATTCATCTTTGAACTTAATATTTTATTGTGCAAAACGTACAGCTACTATTAACCACGCTTTGCAAAAAAAGGTAATAATTTAAGTCTACACCGTCGGCCTTAGTCGGGGTAACGTTGAGATACGCCGTTTAATAATGATAAGTGCAGTAGAGCAAATAAAACAACAACGCGCGATATTCCAAACGTAACCTCAAGTAAATTGAAATTAAAAAAAAAAACAATAATCTCCGTCCCATGTCCGTCGATCGGTCGTAACGTAGAAATGGATTCTACATTTTCTTATCCAATTCAGAATTTTTATCACTAACAACAGTCAGAATAGTTTACGGCCAATGGATAGAATCCACTTTCATCAGTTCCGATTTAGTCAGTTGGTAAAAAAATATATATTTCTCGTATATTTGTCAATAATTATCATTCGCACAGTGGACACTTGTTAATGTGATTCAAACATTCGGTTTATCATTCAGTCGAACAAATAATACATTCTCGATCATTGAGGGAATTAGACCAAAGAAAACGGATTCATCCAAAATAGTATAGTAGTAGTTTTGTCACTAGGCCGTCAGGAACTTTTCTGGTGATTGAGATTACAATCCGAAGCGAAGCCGAGGAGTGCAAAGACAATCGTCAGAAAAGTTTCTTTTGTCACTCAATTCGTGAGGCAATTAAATCCATCGATGTTTTTATAGATGACCATGTCGGCAATTCCGTCAAATCAAGAGAATGTAGTACAGCCAATTATAGTTTTTCAGAGAAATAGTTTGAATGGTCATGAAAAGATTGTTACGATTATGGAAATTTTTCAATTGATTACGTAGAATTAATCTATTCCGCACACAGAAGGAACAAGATAAACAGTAATAAAGACCCCACACGAGACGGTGGTAAGATAATAGGATAAATTCATTGATAAAAAAAATGTAAATAGAAATAGAAAAGAGGACAATTCGATTCTGGTAACTCGTACACTCTTGCAGGCACGCTTTCACGCGCGTACACCGATTAAAATCCGCGCTGAAAGCTGTTTTCCGTATTTGGAAAAAAATCTACGAATTCAAAGGTACTTAGACACTAAACTTGTTAATACAATAAAAATAAATGATTATAATTAAGAATCTAATCGCCACTGGGCGCATGGATACAATGTGTAATTATGAGAAAAATATGAAAATAATTCACAAATAATCAATACAACGATTCCAGCAACAGTCTTGTGGCTCGGGTGGTAGTGATTGTAGCTCTTGAAATAGAAAGTCATTGGAGTTATCAAAGGGAGACTGTGCGTGGTGCTTTCATATTCGGCAGTTATACGGCAGTTGAAATAAACTTTTGATTTTGAGTCTTGTCCAGCGGGGTAAATTGAGAGAATCCAGCCAATTGGAAACATTCAGAAGACAATAGTACCGTGAATTAAAAAAAAATCCCTCCATTTGTCAGCAATTTCAATTTTCTTTTTCCAAGATCATAGATAATAAGTTAATAACAGCTACTAATCGTTTTCCCGGTTGAACGTTGAAGGCGCATTGCCTCCGTCAAATGCATAATTTAGTACTCGATAATAGCTGCCTCGGTGTCGCATTTTGATTAAAAAAATAATTAACACTTTTGATGTCTGCGAGGCTGGATGATTCACGTCGGTTGATGAAAGGCAGTTGGATTTGTTGTGGATGCTGGAGGATGACGAGTGTCTCCATTCCATCATCCTCATCATTACGAGGACTCGTGGAAGCGAGACTGAGACATCCTGACTGCGTCCATGGCAGTGATAAGACTTTGCACTTCCTCCTTTGCGTTCAGTGAATTTCCTCTCGGTTAGCGACCAATTAAATCCCGAATTAATACGGGTGTTATGAAGACTCTAGCAGTGATGTACTTCCTGGTGGTTCATCTGGAATCAAAAATTAGTGATCACAAATTAGAAATGGCTATTATCGTTACTGGTGGCTGGTGGTTTTGAGTAATTATTGTTTTCGGCAATGAATTGAGATTTTTATTGGGTGCTTTGTGGTGTAGGAAGCGTTGAGGTCATGTGTTTGGATGTATGAGTATCAGGTGGGGTGCGGCACAGTGGCTTGAGGTATCCTGATCTTGGTGAAGGCCGCCTGGTGCATTCTAGGCGGGCAAAAACTTCACTAGGAAACCACGCCCTAGCTCTCTCACGTCGTTACGTCCTCGGAGGGACATTTCACCGTGTTAGTGGCAGGTAGACACCTCTGGTTGATTCATTTTATTTTACACATTTTTATTTAATAAGTATTTCAGATTATTATTTTTCGATCGAATTGAACAATTTTGACATTTCGGTTGTTATCTATTCTGGTGAATTAATCATTGAATCTCTTGAATTTTTATCGATACTCAGCTCATTTATTTTTCGTCAAGTGCATTTAGCTTGATTTCAATATTCAGGAAGGAGTCGACTCTAGGCGTTATCTATCCCCCACGTAACATAGTATAATAAATAGCCTCGTGCAATTATCGATAGGCCTGACGGCCTTCGGGACGGATTCGCTCGGTACGAGGCCGAATAATAATTTTTCGTCTTTTTTTTTTTCTATTCCCTCCCCGCTCATTTTTACAACTCGAGAGAGGATAAACGTATCGCGCCATACAACCCCGTACACCGTAACTCGATACCCTGTATTTATGACTCTTGTCTGTACGGCATTGCGATAAAGAATTCCCAGGAAAATTAGCAACAAATTGAAACCAAGCAAATGACCTCCGTGACGACAAATTGGCGGACGAGAATAAATATTTTAGTTGTACGAAAAAAAAAACCATTCACTTACACTTTCTCTCGAGTTTCTGGGCCAAGTTCACTGGAAAGAAAAACGCTACATCATCGCTACCCTTTTTTCTCACGCATCCTGCCGCCCTATTAGATCCATCAGAATCACCAAAAAAAAACCAAAAGATTTTCCCAAAAATCCCCAAATCACTCATCCCATTAACTGAAAAAAAAAGAAGCACCACCCAGAGAAGAAGTCTACGTAAGAATGCGTGCCTCATCCCCGATATTTTTCGTACCAAATGGAGAAAAAAAAAAGAGGTTAAAAGGAAGAAGAAGGGCGAAACGAATGGTCTTGTGGTGTTGCCCCCCATGTGGGGGAGGGCCAGGGGGGAATAAAACCAGACATACACATGGAGACCGTTATAGAGCGTCCCTTGACGTACCTTTTGGGCAATATACCGTGTGCAAGAGAGAACCTGACCCAAACCAACCCAAGGCTAGGGCCCTACACCAGCCCCCTTTCTCCCCCCGAAATTCACCTTGCGTTTCAAACCACACACTGCACTCTCTCAGACCTGCATTCTCGGTGCCCCTGAACTTGGCTTCCTTCCTTTTTTTTCAGTCTTTCTTTTTCATCTCAATCTCTTTCATCTCACTCCTTAAACCGTTGACACAGTTTCCCTCCAACACAACGGAATAAATATTGCGTTTAGTCATTTTCCAGTGAACTAGAACCCCTTTCGCTTTCAACATACTCTCTTTCATTGGTCGGGGGAACAGAGGGATCGATGATGGGTTTTTTTTTTCTTTCCCCACCTCGGTTTTTCATCTCGATACCGACATGACCTTTATCAACATCTATATTATTGACGTTTATACATTAGCCATCGTGAGGAATGATAGAATTTTTAATTCATGAAATAATGATGTAGAAGAATAAAAAGAAATCGTCGAGTCACGTCGATGTAGAAGAGCCGTTAGACGATAGCTGGGGATAAACGACTTGCACCATAAATTACTGGACAAGAGGGGTGTGCAATATTGCCTTCGTGAGATTGCAAGGATGCATTCTCCTGGCTTTTGAACGTTGCCACGTTGACCTCCGTCAGGCTCATTGGATTAGACACAGTGTGCAATGTGTAAATGCATCGGGAGATTTGTACTCAGGGATAATCATTAGTTTATATAACGAGTCATTTCCCGCGGCCACGTGATTTGAAAAATTGTCAAGGCAAGCCGCTCACCACCACTCGAGGTTTGTATTTGATGGTGGAGGTAATTATTTTGCGGGGATTTTAAATTGTGGTGTGCACTTCCATTGATGGGGATTCCAAGTGAAATTTTTAGTGGTGATACACTCAAATTGGTCATTGGTAAATCGTTTGGATGAGGTTTCAGATGATTTTGCCAGTTGATGACTGATTGTTGAAAAATCTCGTTAGGAATTTTTAATTATGGACTTGAAGAAATTGTAATTTACGCTATTTTTAGACTAATTTATTTTTTATAGGGTCTTGGGGTTACGAAGCTTGCGAGGCTATGACTGAATCTACTGGAAATTAATGGAAATGCGGATATTTAAAACTAATGCAATGAATTGGCAAAAATGTAATTTGTATTTTGAAGACCAATGAATAGTATTAGTAACAGTATTTCATTATTAGAGAATTCTCAATATCTTGTGCAATATTTGTGGGGTCGTTTCTAATTTACGTCTCAACTTTGCAGATGAAAGAACCGGAGATCGTTCCAAGGACATTCGCAGCATCGGCTGGTGAGATGCATCTCGAAGGATATCTAAAACCAAATGTGGGATACTAAACGTCTTCAACCTGTTTTCGAGGAGTGTTAGATACAGGTAGATACTTGACGACCTTGTAAGGGTGACATGGTTTTCCGATGGCGTCAGTTACGATTTTTCTCCGATTCACCCAATTTAATTCTTCATGTATTACCACTCATTGACTATTAGAAAATTACAAAAATATCCCGTAGCATTTTTCTCAAAGATTCTTTTAATGGCGTTTCGTTATTTTTATTTGAATTTCCCACGAAAAAATAAACTGCCACTTGAATTTTCTGAGTAGCTTCCGTAACCGGTGGGTATTTAGTCATTTTTTCAGAATATTTCTTCAAGTGCTTGAAGGCAGTATGAGAGTTGATCCGAAAGATGTCTAGTGCAAGCGGTCACGTAGGTCGAGTTGTCTCGGGAGATTTCTACAGTCAGAGGTGGTAAATGCCACTGGTTGGCATTATGATACCAGCAGAGGTGTCTCCCGGTTGTACGAGACCTTCAATGCACCTAAACCGCCAGTACAACATTTTTTTTCAAGAAAATAATCGTGTGTCTATTGCTTTTTGATGGAAATGACTTCATTAATTCTCAATAAAGCAACCGAAACCCGCTGATCACCTGAGGCGATCCATCACTCCATTGAGCATAAAACGTCATCTCTTCATCATCATAACATCATCACCGTAACAGTCATAACATACGGGTCAGCGTTCAGGCGTCAGTTTTCCCGAGACGATATTGACACACATGCAAATTTTTCTCTCTCAACGCCAACCGTTGAATGAAGATGGCAATGAACGCGAGATTTATTGATTATTTATCCATTTACATAATAATTTTTTACGCTCTGGGTTTCGCGTGTTGTAATTATTCAGACAAAGCGCGGGGGAGCAGAGACCTGGAGGTAATAAAAAATTGGCCTGGAGTATCTCCGAGAGCCATTAAAGGGTAAAAAAAAGGGTTGAAGGAGAATTCCTGGAATTTCCAACAAAATTTCGTGGTTCAGGATGTGGGCGATCTTGGAGGAATAGAAATTGTCTATAGATTGTCTCGCGACGGCGGCTCCAGTCTCTCGACCTGCCTCTGCACCAGGAGAGAGGAAGCGAGAGAGACTCTGGTAACTCTGGGAAGCACTCTAGACGAGATGAGAGGTGAATGAACCTCGAACTGACTCCTCTCTCGCCCTGGTGGCCCCAGGAGGAATAAAAAAAAAAGGAGTGAAGCCGGCGAAGCGCCAAAAAAGAGGACTCGCTCCGGCTCTATACGAAACGAGAAATAAGAAAAAAAAAATGGCAACTCTTTGCTAGCAAATGAAAGGGATAAGTATTCAGTCTAATCGCCGGCCATTCCTGGCCTCTCGATGTATTATTTTCATCAGCAAAACGCGAATGCCTGGCGACCATCGCAGCTCCAGGATTCCACCGACAAATTAATAATTCATAATTCAGAAAATCGTATTTGCCAAGTCATCAATTAATTACCGAGTAAATTTTTTAAATTGGATGGGATTTAGAACACTTTCGCCGACGACCAAAGGAGAACCCTTTTATCTACTCTCCCATGACTCCTCACTCTCACTTACTCTTCCTTTTTTCCGAGTCACTCAGATGTTTGATTAGCTACAACCGGAGAAAAGGGGTGTAAAGTAAAAGTAGGCAGACGGAATGAAACCGGAGAAATTGTTTCTACCTATTCAATGAGCCAATGAGAAATGAAAAAAAGTCCCCGACGCAATGAAATCGTCAATTATAACAATTCACAATCGGAGCATTGACCAATGTCATAAAAAAAATGCGGAAGTCGTTGGTTGAATTGAGCATTGACACTTGATTTTAAAGGGGGGGGCCCCAGGCACTGCCGAATTTAAATCCCGATGGGTGATTGGTATGCGTGATAACGCATCCACAGGCAACAGACCTGTCGGTCGATAACACCTCGAACGTGCTCCATACCTCAACGGATTATCGACAAGTCCCAGACCGCAATTAACCACGACAATTCCACATTACCCCCCTCCCCTTCTCATCAAATTATCGATTAAATTTTATCATTCAAGGGAGAAATTTAGAAATCAAACTGAGAACAAAATAAAAAGGGCAGAAACGATTGGCATGCAGGTCGTACAGCGTGTTGTCCTAGGTCACGCGTGATCCTCTCTCTTTATCTCACACGAGTCTGAACCTCCGGAGCTATAGAGAACGCCATCTCCCTCCTCTACTGTCGCCTTTTTATCGTACCCAGTGCACCCGAGTTGACGCAATTTTCTTACGTGATGCAACAAGAATCTTCGCGGGGTAACGATCCACACACAAACACAGAGGCACAACCGACTTGGCGATAAAAAAAAAAAGTCTCGAAGCGGGGAATAATAATGTCGCATTGTGAGAATGACGGAAATTAATTCCCACCGTGTATTTCCGGATCGTTAAAACTAATTCGACGTATTGATTACGGAGTTACCGATTCGCCCGAACGATCCGGCACATAAATTACCCCCAATCAATTAAAGAAACCATCTCACTGAATAACTCCTCAACGTTGAATTCTCAGGAGGGCCGGAGGGAAGACCCGAAGGGAGAAAAAAAATTTGTTTTTTAATGGAATTATAGTGGTTGAAACGAAGGCGCGTACCTGTCGTTTTGAGTGGTCTTCCCCTGACGTCCGGGGCTCGCGCCCGTGTGAGAAGCAACGCGAGTGTTGCCCACATCGTTGAAGGGAGAAAAAGCATCTCACATGGTACGTTTTACCCGAAAAAAAAAAAGCAACAAGGTGAGATAGAGAAAGAGTTATACATAAAAGGTGTATGGGCGGTGGACGGGAATCACCGGGTGAGGGACAGGGGAGGAAAAGGGAAGTCACTGAGAATCGGCCAGTTGGAAAAACGAGGACCGAACGATCGAACACCGCCTCCCTCCAAGAGGCCCAAAAGGCGTATGGTGAGATTTTAAAGTTCTGGGTGGGAGTGAGACAGGACCAATGCCCAAAACTCAACAGAGGTGGAGTGTCAATGAACCCGGCCATGTGAGGAGTTGGAAGCCAAGTGGAGAGAGCGAGAGAGGGCGCGCGCCACAAACGCTCCTTGCCACGGCAGTGGCTTGGCTTTAGCCTCCGCTCTTTTACCCACTATATCGGGGTCTTGTCTTTCCCATGGAAGCGAGACTAATTCCGTGCCTTTACGAGAGCGCCAACGACGAGGAGGACGCCAACGGTGGAGGTGGAGGAGGATCGGTTGAAATCGGTCGGGGTTCCTCATTGACTTCTTGTGTATGCCCTCCTACCTCCCACCAATCCTTTTCACTTATTCACCTTCAGGATTATCGGGTAAGTTCAGCTTGAACCTCCTAATTGGACTTCAATTAGCCGATTGTGAAAGACTGGTGGATGAGGGGGTAACAAAGGGATAGCCTTCACTGGCGATTTGATGAGGACGATACCGAGATGGATGTTACTAGACAAAAGATACCGCGGGGGTGGATAACAAAAGCGTGTCTGCAAAAATTGTGTATTTGGGTATGCCCTGGGTTGTGATTAAGAAGGCGCCAGGTTATCGCGTGACTGCACACGCCAGAGTGAGACAGATCGAGGAAGAAGACGAAGGAGGTGAAGCTAACTTCTCTCTCATTCGTTACTTTGCCGCACTTTGCCGCACTTTACCGCCTATCTCACTCTATCCCTTTCCACGTCTTCTTCATGTGTTGGCTTTACAAGTGGTGTGGGTACCTGTGTATTCTCTAAAGTGCAAGATTGAATAGGAGTTATGTGTGGGTACCATACAGACCACGTGTGACGTAACCCATTCTCATGGATACGGAGAATACAGACGTTTTGCCCTTTTATTTTGCTAATTCGTGGCCCTTGGAATTACTGCACGCGACTGATTCGCTCGTTTTACTCAGTGAGACTAATTGAGGGGGTTGTCATGGTTTGTTCGATGTACTTTATGATGAATGGATTTTATGAATTTGACGGGTACGTAGATATGGGAGAATTTATTTCAAATGACTTACCTCATGCGTTGGCAGTGTTCGAGTTCATTGACGATCTCCTCTCCCTCTCTGTTGTTTCCCCCGATTTCACGAATTGTGTCTGCCCTTCCGTATATTGATACTCCAGGCCCATCTCCTCAGATTCGACGACGATGTCTCCTCTCTACCTCTCACATGTTTCCCCATTCTTTCGTGACGACAATCTTGTTGCACCTGCCACCAGAACAGCTTGGTAGTTGTCGTTTTTTTTTTAAATTTTTTCTTTTTTATTAATTCACGTCCTCCCTTTCCCTTCCTCCTTCTGCGACCTGTGTCGCATCACCTTCAGTAGGTATTGGTTGGATCGAGTGCTGCAGCCATGTCTCGACCTTGACGGACTGAGTCCTCTTCCGTAATTTATTCCTTCCTGAATCTCTCACCTCGTATCCGAGCTTCTTCTCCGCAGAGAGTTTAGTAGGTACCAGTTGGATCTAAGTCATGCATCTTGCTGCCTCTAATTCGGCGGATTTTCAGCTGATGGAGCTACGAATCAACGGATTCGGCGGGACAGAATACAATGATTCTCTTCCCACTGGTAAATGACACACTTGTCAGTAGAGTCCAGTTGGATCCAAGTCTCCAGCCATTGTCGATAGAATCAGTAGAATATCTGTCTCGAACTGACTATCTCAAGCTCAGTACAATCCGGTTGGATCCAGTTTGTCCATTTTTTCAGTTGAATTGAGTCTTAGATTATTGAAAATTATAAATTCAAACACGAACTTACAGATTCAATGATGACTGTATTGTACCTGTTGAACACGCGGGCAGTGGTGATTTTTTAATTTTAGTAATCGATTTATGGTGTCTTCTCCTCGGTGGTACGTCGACGAGTCACACGAGTATTTCGGCAAGTGAATATGATAGTTTCAGAAGCACGATTTATCGATGAACAAACTACGACCGAAAAACCTTTCAATTTGATTAAGTGATTTATCGGCGAAAAGAGTTCTAAATGCGTACAACTGGGGCCTGGTGGTGCGCGCGTGACCGTGCCCCACAGAGCTCTGACAGCTCACGGCGAGTGGCCTCGCTTTAAGTATTGATCCGACCCCCACCTGGTTGTACTGTGCTACAATCCCATTGGCCAAGCCTACCGGCTACACCGGAATTCGCTGCGGAAGAACCGAGCTTTCGGAAAATTTCCCCATCCACCACGCTCTTTGAACATTTTACCATCCCCACCTACCCAACTTTTTTCATTCACAAGGAACCACCCCCTCTTCTTTTCCATTGTAATCATTCATTCGATCATTTAGATTTATATCAAGGAATTTCGTTCCACTAAACTATTGGGAATGGGAAGAAAAGATAAATTTTTTTAATGGGACAAATTCTTTATTCTTTAAAACAGGAGGCACGTCCTGATACTTTCAATGTCTAGGCTCAGAAAAATATTTTCACCGAAAAAAAAGAAGTATATAATATATAAGCGGGAAAATCGCGAGTGGAGGGGAAAAATTGTTCGGGGGTGGGGCATATTTTGGGTATTGTAATATTCGAAAAATTTTTTCGCTCTTTTTTGTCAGCGTTTGTGTCCACATCTGCTTCATTTTTGTTCAGTCAATGTCATTTGTTCAGATCTCATTATGTAAATTTATTTGAAATGGCGATGATAAAAACATCTTGGGGAAAAGGAGTATAATTGACGTCCGGTTAGAAGCTATTCATTAACGAGAAAGTTGCATACTTTCATCCAGTCATATTCAAAAATAAATATCATAGCCGTCAGACACTTGTCTATTTTTACTACTGCGATCGGGCATTCACTTCCGCGAGGGGAAAAAAAAAATCGCACACGCCGGCGAGTTGGAGATTCAGTGGAACAGTGAAATGACCACTAAAACTGTAATTGATTGCAGGATTGCAGATCACTCGTCATAAAGACATTGAAATATGGGTCATTTTACGACGCACTGGCGTCCCATTCCTGAGCTGTGATCAGCCCAATGATTCCTTTGCAGTTTTAGACATTTAATAATTCGGTATGAACCATTTTTACGAGTTTATTAGTTTAGAGATACCTGAGGGGACATTTTTTTTTCCAGAACTCCACAGTGATTATTCACACAGGTAGAACGGTAGGTAGAAATTTTATTGTAGGCCCCATTTATTATAATTTCAAACGTTTCTGGGTTAGTCCTTTTCCCGAAATACACAATGACTCGCTATAATAAAATCTCGTAAAAACAAACTTGAAATACCGATTATTGGTTTTATAGGAGACAATATACTAAACCGAAGACGTTTTATATGCACAACTGAACTTCTAATTAAGTCCTGTTCTACTTCCACATCAGACGATGCCTGGAATAAAGAGTGATAGAGTCACAATGACCGTAAGAACGGTAGAGTGACATTTCAATTTGTTGTAAAAAATTGACGTCCATTTATCTAAAAACAATATTACAATTTCTCTCCCACTCCACATTCCGTTTAACATTAATTACAAATTTTTTGTTCATGTCACTCATTGGATGTAGAAGTTACTCTTTGAATTTTCCCTTGCAATTCGAAAACCCACTTACATCACTCCCTGACCCGCGACTCTCAGCTTTCGAAATGGTTTTCCCTCACAAGTATAAAAATTGCAGAATCGAAAAGCCATACGTGGTTACTATGACTCATCGAAAACTTGTCACGCGTAATGCATCCACGTCAGCCAACTTTCTACGATGATTCCTCTGAGTCTAGCCAGGGTGAAGGCAATGCACAAATCCCCACAATATCATGGTGAATCAATATCTCCACATTGAGCATGATTTTTCACCTCGTTCATGCCTGACTCCCGTAGATTTCCCCGAGCTGCTATCTGCCCTGAGAAGCCGCTCATTAACTAATCGCCACCGTCTTGTTTCAGTGAACCTATGTCGACGCTGATACTTGCGTAATCACCTGCTAAATTCCTGGTGCAATGCCGGAAAAATCGTCTGACCGTAACATGCAGTCCAATTGAAAGAGAGTGAAAATTCCATGAGTTCCCTGATGCAAATGATGATATTATTCATTCAATTACACTAAATCAGCTTTCAATTTTTCATTTCAAGGAAAAATTAATTTCCCTATCCCAGCAAATGGCGTTTCCCTCGCCCCTCATAAATACCGAAATTATCAAAAATAACGCGTACCAGACCAGTCGTAAATAATTCACTGTACTATTTATCGTTCATACGTGATGTAGCAAAAGGGTTGTTTCAATGAGCGCGAAACCGCGGAGTGTGCGTCAGCAGTAATTTAGCTAGATCGAGGAACAAGTGTCAGATGATAAGACAAACTCCAAGATTTGCCAAATGGATGCCAATTTGTCCCTCAAAAGACGGGACACCGTGCGAACTCTTATTTAATCCAGTCATTACTCTGGAGGGAATTAGTCGCCCGCAATTAGTCCCCCCAACGAGACGATGAGTCCCTTCGGTGCGGTCCTTAGTCCCTCTCAACCTAATCCAACATTATTTTAGGTTTACGATCACCCTATTCACCTCCTGCTGGGACACAACTATATCTCTCTCCCCTCCATTTCCACAATCTCCGTATCTGGTGTTATTGACCAACCAAACTCACACTCCGGTGAATGAACTCAGACGACAACCGCGGCCTTGCAGATAATAGGTTAAAGAAAGGAAAGATAAGAATGAGATTGAAGGTTTTTTTCCATTTCATCACTTCAAGTTCATAATGTCAATGCGCAGAAGGCGGCATATCTCTCCAAAGGCTTTTTTTATGATTAGGCGGAATAGATTTGATACATTAATTCCTATCGCTCCGTCACGCTGAGAAATAAAATTGTAGTGGATTGAAAGCGTACGTTCTCGATTGGAATTTGCAAGGAATTTGTTTTCGACAGAAATCCACCTCATGCTTGAATCAATATTTTCACGAAATTGCCAATTCATGAAAATAACCATTCGTTTGCCCCTCAAAAATTGTATTCGCAATCGATTATTGAATCGATTTTAATGAACGTAATATGTAATAAGTAATGAATGAATATTTTAATAAATGACTGTAGTAATTTCGGACTGGAATGACGAAAAAAGAAGATTGATTGATGATCAATCGCGTAAATACTTGATCGACGCTATTTTTCGTACTGTAAAATGGTCATTGTACTATAACTGACGTTGACATAATTCCCACGGAATTTCAATAGTAAAATTCCTGGAAATTTGGAAACTCGAGAGTGATAAAAGTTTCGAAGGAATGTCCATAAATTTGAAGTGAAAAATGTTGAACAAACTGTGTGCATCTTGTTGCCTGTTTGCCTATTCATCCGTAATAAAACATCAAACTATGGACGCAGATGCCTTATTAACGGTGTAATTACCTCCCACCCACCCCATAAATTCCGAATAAACTAAAATACCAGAGTAAAAATGTCCGTACCTGCTTTTCTCAGTCTTGGTACACACAGCACACATCTTTAATACATATAAAATCCAGAGGGGGATAAGGAGACACGCCGGCTACGGCGATTCGAACGATACAAATAAAGCACAGTGGCTTCTTCCTGAACGGGGGCTTCTCCCTTGAACCAACGAGTAAACTCATGTGCACCGCATATTCCCCATGTGTACTTGGTAGTTTGTCGTTCTTACGTCGACTCTCTGTACTCTCTCGCTCACGGCTACGACGCCGTGTTACTGGGATAAAAGGTGAATGTACTCACGTTAATTCCCCACCGCCTCCTTCTCTCCTCCATTTGCTCTCCGTTTTGCTCAAGTTTCTTCTCTTTCTTCTCCCAGGCACTAGTTTTAGATACAGCATCAATCGGCCGTTCCAGCGATGGCGCTACGACGGAATCCAGAAATGAAGGTCAATATCATAAAAAAAAATTAAAAGAACAGATGAATCTCCTGGTTTCATCCTCACTTTGTTCGATTTCGTGAAAGAAAATGGGATTCAAGGAGCAATTTTATTTCACTTTACACGGTGGGAAAGTTACGGTTGAAATTGAAATTTAAAGTTAAGAAACTTGACATTTTTAACAATGTACTCACTTCTTCACCATTTTTTTTTTAATTTTGAAGATAAATTTTGAAACTGGATTTATATTGTAATTGAGAATTCAAATGAATTTGTGATTGAAAGTTCAAGAAATTTTTAATCTTGTATCCGCTTCTAATACGCCCCTCAAAAGTTTTCATCTCATTATAATTTTTTGAGTTTTGTTGCACCATTAACATAATTCAAAGGCATAAATTTCATCTCGAAGTTATTTAAAGAAATAAAATTCAGGTATTCAATAAAGAATGTATCAGGTTTTTTTTTTACTGATGCACGGGACATTTTTCCACTCAATCAAGTGATTCTCATACATTTTTCATTAATAAAATGTTGTATTCTGTGAACTTTAGATAAATGAGGTATTATATGATGTTGAATTAAATTTTCTTGATGCATTACGTTGAGATGATGAATTGCTGATTTTTTCGAGGCTATTTGCATTGTCTCTCGTAACCGGAGGAGAAAGACATCTAATCACATTTCGATGGTGAAGCACGCGACATTTCCTTGGTACTGTGATTTATGGTGAGAGAGTAATTTCCGAGGTACTTGGCACACCTTTAATTACTTCCTCACCGGAGGAGAGGAAGCACGTGACATCACATTCTTCGTTAATTCGTCGATGAATGGAGGAAAGGGGGATCCAGAGGAATGTACCGGGTATCGATTTTTCTTTGACCTTTTTTTTTTAAATCTTTTGAATATGTTTTTGAATTTTTTATTAAGTTTTTTATGGTCCTGACGAAACACTGACGATGGTGCAAGCATTCTCCGGGGTTTACGCAACCGGCAAGACTCGATTTCTGGGGATCTTCACAGCCAGAGTAATCTCTGTTGGACTACAGCATTATTGCCTCACGCAGTGCCTCTGAAACATAATCCAACGAGCCACAGGGATTATAAACACGATCCGATGCAAGGGCCGATTTCTAATTAAAACCAGAATGAAGTTCTCAGTATCTTCCGTTCCATCATCGACTGATAAGAACTGTT